CAAAATATATTAGTCCTGGCGTGGCACATTTAATGCGGAGATACTATATATACATATGATGCCAACTTTCACCAAATATACATTTCTAAGCATAAAAACAATAAATAAATAAATGGAGAACAAATGGACCGTTGTCATAATGGTGTTCTTTTTGGTGGTGATACCTACCATTCGAGGAGATTCAATTGGATCGCCTCTACGTGAAGAAAAACCAATTATCATATGTTTAATAAAATGTCAACGCTATTGCAGAACAAGCATTGGTTTTACTTGCCTACCTAATTGTATCAGAGAGCATTGCATGCGTCGGCCACCACCGCACCCACAACTTTCACGGTCGCAGTAAATCACTAAATTTATCTTTGTCTTTACATAATATATATTGTATAGAGTAAGTACTGACATTGTTTTATTGTGATAAATAATACAGGATGGAGATTACAAGAATGCAATAAATGAGAAACTAGAGAGTATTTATGAATCTGTTATAATTGAAGTTTTACATTTTTCTTATATGTAAAGAAAATTTTACAATAAGATGAATACTAAATTTTTTATTACAGATATATAAAAAAACAGATGAAAAAATATTACAGTAGAAACTCTATAAATCATGTTAATATCATAAATTAATAACTTCCATAAACAAGTAATTTTCGAAGATATAACCTATGATAATGGAATAAAATAAGTATAGTACTGTTTTTTTAATCTAAGTTTATATATTTTTAGGACTTATAATCTAATTTTAGAATAAAACTTTCGAAAATATTATATATTTCCTAAGAACATCTGATTTTTTAAATTATTTTTTAGCAAAAAATTATTTTTAGTCAAAACAGATTATTTAATGAATTTATAAATTTATAACATATCAAAATATAATTTAAAAAAAAAAATCAGAAAGCTATCTGATTGAATACAATTGATGATATGAGCATGAATTCACATGATTTCGAAAGTTTACAAATGAAAAGAAATCTCATTCATAAGAAACATAGATTATGATGTTGAATTTATCATTATGACGATTTTTTATTTATTCTTCGTAATACAAACTAAGTCAAACGAATGTTTAAGATCATAATTGGATAGCATAATCCATGAATCTTTAGTAATATATGTCTTTGATTAATAATTTCTGTAATTTTAGATCCTTTCATAAAAATAAAGTTGGATAACATAATCAATATAAACAATGAAAAACATAAATCATATATTAAGTAATACATTTTATATTAGGATAATTGTTTTCTTCTCTATCCATCAATATCAGTACAATATATTGAGCAGAAGAATTGTTCGCCGTAGTCTATTTATGTAGGATTTTTTTCCTTACAAAATTGTTGTTTCTCCAAGAATGTTTAGAACTTAGAATGCCTAGTTGATTCATCGCAAATGCGTAGTCCAAAATAAAATGTTAATCTTGTTATATAGTCGGATGAAGATTTATGTAATTTCACGAATATGTAAACAATATTTACAAAGGAAATAAATTCCATTGTTTAGATCTTATGTTAATTACAAATCAAAAGTTCAAACAATAGATTAGTTAACAAAATCTTAACAAAGATAATTATAGTAGTTTTTCCAAGAGATGAAAATAATTGTAACTCAATTGCACTCGATAGAGCTCATAAAAAAAATTCTCTTATTGATTCACAATTATTTTCTAACATTTTTTAAAATTTCTGTGTAGCAACTCAAAAGAGAACAAGAAAATTTGTGTGTTTGCAATAATTTTATCAATTTAGTTGTGATCTATGCGCTTCTGTAACTGATATTTGTGAATAGAAGTTCAAGACTATTTACTTTTTCTTTATGCCCTTTGACTTCCAAACAAGTTGATTTGAACTTTGACTACTGTATTTGGTTTCTTACATGAGTCCAAATTTGTACATACATGTTTACACATTTAGGATGGTTGGACTTACATGATTCCATATATTATCATATTTCCCAAAAGAAACCTAATTAGTTAATAGTTTCTTAGACAATTTTAATATTCTGTTATTTGTTTGTTAAATCTTGGAAAGCCAATTTTTTTAACTAATACATAGTGTAATTAACAACATATATACAAGTGTAAAAGTTATATTGTGTGTTGAATAGTGACTTATGATTGTAAAAGGTTTTACTAACTTGCAAAAAAGTTATCAATGGGAGTTTTTTTTTTTAAGAAAACTCTTGATTATTACTAATTTTTTGTTTGACTTCTTTGTACATTCTCATTAATACAATTTCCAATGACGTATAAATCTTATCATTAAGAAAAAGGCAAGTACAACCAAATAATTTTTTTTAGTCAAAATATATTAGTCCTGGCGTGGCACATTTAATGCGGAGATACTATATATACATATGATGCCAACTTTCACCAAATATACATTTCTAAGCATAAAAACAATAAATAAATAAATGGAGAACAAATGGACCGTTGTCATAATGGTGTTCTTTTTGGTGGTGATGCCTACCATTCGAGGAGATTCAATTGGATCGCCTCTACGTGAAGAAAAACCAATTATCATATGTTTAATAAAATGTCAACGCTATTGCAGAACAAGCATTGGTTTTACTTGCCTACCTAATTGTATCAGAGAGCATTGCATGCGTCGGCCACCACCGCACCCACAACTTTCACGGTCGCAGTAAATCACTAAATTTATCTTTGTCTTTACATAATATATATTGTATAGAGTAAGTACTGACATTGTTTTATTGTGATAAATAATACAGGATGGAGATTACAAGAATGCAATAAATGAGAAACTAGAGAGTATTTATGAATCTGTTATAATTGAAGTTTTACATTTTTCTTATATGTAAAGAAAATTTTACAATAAGATGAATACTAAATTTTTTATTACAGATATATAAAAAAACAGATGAAAAAATATTACAGTAGAAACTCTATAAATTAAAACTCGATAAACTAATAAACTTGATAACATAATAAATTTATGTGGTCCAAAATTGGCTGGTCTAATATATAACATAAATTAAATAATCAGAAAATACAATAATAAATTTTTGAAGAAACTATGTAGTCATGTTAATATCATAAATTAAGTATTGTACTGTTTTTTTTAATCTAAGTTTATATATATTTTAGGACTTATAATCTAATTTTAGAATAAAACTTTCGAATATATTATATATTTCTTAAGAACATCTGATTTTTTAAAATATTTTTTAGCAAAAAAATATTTTTAGTCAAAACAGATTATTTAATGACTTTATAAATTAATAAAATATCAAAATATAATTAAAAAAAAAATCAGAAAGCTATCTGATTGAATACAGTTGATGATATAAGCATGAATTCAGATGATGACGAAAGTTTACAAATGAAAAGAAATCTCATTCATAAAGAGACATATAGATTATGATGTTGAATTTATCAGTATGACGATTTTGTATTTGTTATTGGTAATACAAACTATGTCAAACGAATGTTTAAGAATGTTTAAGATCAAAATTGGATAGCATAATCCATGAATCTTTAGTAATATATGTCTATACGATGTAGCATAGCCTTGATTAATAGTTTCTGTAATTTTAGATCTCTTCATAAAAATAAAGTTGGATAACATAATCAATATAAACAATGAAAAACATAAATCATATATTAAATAAGACATTTTATATTAAGATAACTGTTTTCTTCTCTATCCATCAATATTAGTACAAATGCGTAGTCCAAAATGAAATGTTAATCTAGTTATATAGTCGTATGAAGGTTTATGTAATCTCACGAATATGTAAACAATACTTAGGAAGGAAAGAATTAAAGGAAATAAATTGCATTGTTTAGACTTGATGTAATTTACAAATCAAAAGTTCAACAACATATTAGTTAACAAAATCTTAACAAAGACAAATATAATAGTTTTTTCAAGAGATGAAAATAATTGTAACTCAACTGCGCTCGATAGAGCTCATAAAATAAATTATACTAGTAGAGTACCCGCACGTTTGTGCGGTGTGACGTTGTGGTTTTGTGTAGAAAATTTAAACCCTAAATCCGAACCCGACCAAAAAACCCTAATCAAAAAATTTAAAAACCCAAACTTTTTTAATATGTCTAAACCCGAAAATCCGAAATAAAAAAAATCCCGAAAACCCTGAACTGAACAAAAAAAATCTGGAAACTTTTTCACCCGGAACCCGACCCAATACCCTAATCAAAATTTTAAAATACTCAAACTTTTTTAATATATCTAAACCCGAAAACCCGAAATCCAAAAAATCCGGAAAACCCTAAACTGAAAAAAAAAACTCGAACCCAACCCGAACAGAAATTTTCAAAGAAACCCGAACAATTTCTATATCTCTATATCTCTATAAAATTAGGTCTCAGATTTTCACCCAAACCCGAACTTGTCTATAAAAACCCGAAAATCCAAAAAGCATATTCTATTGATTTGGTATTATCGTTAGATTATGTTAAGTTTTTTTTTGCAGATTTTTAAGAGCTGGAAAACGGAAGTTTTCTAAACCATCGGTTTGTTTTAAGTTATTATTCTTGTATCCAAACAATTTTTTCCATTTATTCTTCTATCCAAATAGTTTTTCTCTTATTCTTGTATCCAAACATTTCAATGTACTAAATTGACCATAATTAAATTGTTGCCAAACACTTTCTCTTTATAATTAATTGGTTTTTTGGTCATAAAATTTTCATGTACTTCTCAATTAATAATATAAAGATTGTTGATTTGCATTGGTTTTCTAACATTTTTGAAAAAAAAACTAGTATTTCTCAAATTTGTAATCATAAATAGGGTATTTTTTAAAGAATCCCAAACTGAAAGTTAGGTTGAATATCCCCTTGTAAAACTATTTGGCGAATTGGAAAAGAGATAAACATAATTGGTCAAAGTGTGAAAATACAATACAAACTTTTGGCTCCAAACAAAAAAAAAAAGCCCTAAAAAAAGAAACTTCGAAAATTGAAAAATGAACAGTTTCTTCTTCTCCGAGTGATCGTACGACGAGAAATGGCGCCGAAGAAGAAACCTCAGACGAAGCAAAGCAACAAACCTGTTGCTTCTTCTTCTTCAATACCAAATTCGAACCACAAGAAACCTTCTAAAGTCCCAAAACTTCTGATTTCGCCGGAGGACGAGGACCATTTGCGGCGACTCCTGCTCAAATTTCGCCGGACAGTTTATCCGGCTAGGGCTCCTCTCCGCAGTGCGCTTTACGTCGCTCAGAAGAAGAAGAAACTCATTGACCTCTACGAGAAACTCTCTTGCGAAGCCTTCTCAAATGATCATATTGATTCCGCTCTCTCCTCTCTAAGAGTAAAACTCTCTCACTTGTTGAAATTTTGAATATAATCGTTTGTTTTTCAGTAACATTTCTCCATTTTCTTCACCGATTCCTGATAAACATTTCTCTGTTTGAACTTCCCGAGTCACGCGTTGCCATTAAACTATTCTTCTGCAGCTTTTCGCTTTCCCACTTCAGGTATCAGGTATGCTGTAATATTCCGCGATTTGTCGGTCATTGCTGCGTCGTAGCTTACCATTGCTGTTGCAGGAGGCTCTGTCAGTGTGATATCGACTTCAAGGAAAGATAGGAACGAGTGTCCTGAATCTCCTACAACAGGTATGTGTGAAATCACGCCAAGAAAAGCTTTAAAGTTTGTATCTTTTCCAGGACTGATGATTTATGTCAACCTCAGGGGAAGATTTGAGTGAGTCTGCTGAATCTTCAAACATTCCTACCACAGGTTTGTGTAACATGAAGCTAAGAAATGCTTTAAAGGTTGTACCTTTTTCGGTTTTCGTGCATTGATGCTCTGTAACTTCCTACTGGTGTTGCAGGTGAAGGTTTAGTTCCAGTGAAGGGAAAGCGAGATGAAGAAGAGACTCTGGGTTCTTGTCAATCATCTCAACCTGATTGGATTCGTCAGTACATGAGAAGACTTAAAGAGATACTCATAAAATAACGCTTTAAACAATTTTTTTACAAAAAAAGCCTAATATACTTTGATCTTAAGGCGCCAAAAAAAGAAAAAGACATTACATTGAATTTCATTTTTTTTTCAGGCGGAAATGGAATCTTCAGACGATGAGGAGGTAACTCAACTTTTTAGTATGTGAAGACTTTTACAGTTCTCTTGTGTGTTAGAGAATAATGTTACTTTTACAAAACTATGAAGCTGAATATTTTGGAAATATTTTATCAGTTTCTAAACCTCTTTTGTATTGATACATTGTTACTTAACGTAATAGGTATTTGGTCGAAGGCCTTTTGAAGAAATAGCCGAAGAATATTGTTTGCAAAGAGGAAGGGTGATAAAAGAAGACAGAAGCAAGGAGGCTTAGCCATTTGCAAGATCAAGCAAGAGTTACCTGATATTGGTTAAAGTTCTAACCTTTTTTTCCTTCATATGTCAATGAATCCTGACTTGGTGTAGTATGTCAAGACCTATCTGTGTTTGTTTTGCAGGGGTATCAGAATCACTGTTGGAATCTGAGTTTCAGCGTGAACAATCTCTTGAAGACGATACAGAAGAAGAAGAAGAAACCTCTTCCATGCCTGATGGTGTCCATGAGTCAGTAACTGTTGACGCTCTCTCTATCCAGATGTTAGATGACTTGAACTTGGATGCAAATCTTTTTAAGAGATGTAGTCCTAAGGAAATTCAACCTAAAGATCTTCCCTTAAGTCCCTGAAGACAAGAATTGGATGATGTTTTAGAAGACATGGAGCTTGGACATTTGTTCTTAGAAGATCTTCCGCCTTATGAACCATCTCCTCATGAGCTCCTGGAATCACAGAAGAAAGCAATTATGAGAGAACTATGCAATGAGAGAAATCTTGGAAAACTAAAGGGTGTCTGGGAGAAGGTAAACTCTTCACCTAACAAGATCCTTGGAGAAAAATATTATATCTTTTATTGTTGCAACTTGCAAGTAATAGGTCCTTTAATGCTTCTATTGCACATGTTTACAGGGTCAAGATAAAAAAATTCCAAAGGCAATTCTCCATCAGTTGTTTAGGAAGTCAGGGTGGGAAGCACCAACTTTCAATAAAGTAACAGGAGAAGGAAGTAATTATTCATATACTATAAGTATCATGTGTAAACCTGGTGGATATGGTAAAAGCAGAGAACCTGGGGGTCTATTAACTTTTAAACTTCCTCATCATCGAGTTGAAGATTTTGAATCCATCGAGGTACTTTGCTTTACCTGTATGTTGAACATTTGATAATCTTTTGATGAGATACTAAACAAGTAGAGAAAACAGAGTTGTGAATATGAAGTTGTTAGCTGTTGATTGGATCATTTAGCTAATTATTGTGCACTTGTGTGTGACAGGATGCACAGAACAGGGTTGCAGCATTTGCTATACATAAGCACTTTCCTGATTTGCCTGTTCACTTTGCACTTACTGAGCCTTATGCCTCTCTAGTTTTGATCTGGAAACAAGGTGATTTTTGTATTAGTCTCAGCATATATATGATCTAGCCCTTAAATGTTATTATAATCACTCTAAAAGAGTTTCTTTGAGCATTGACAGAGGAATCGTTGGGTATACAAAGCAGTGAAGAAGAACGAAGAGCAAAGTTTGTTGACAGCTTGTTTGAGGCAGAGAATTTCAGCTTGAACACTTCGTCTAATGGCAGACACAATCCACTTTCAATGGTAGACTCATGTGTCAAAGAGAATGACGACTTGGCTGTTGTCAAATCTAACCATAGAGCTAAAAGTATGTTTCTTGGACTCAGTTTTTTACAGACTGTATCTGCTGGTTAAATCAGTATCAGGAAGTATAATGTTCTGTATGATATGTTACAGGAGACTTTTCCGTGAAAGCTGAGTGTTCTTATCTCAAACGGAAACAAGAAAACATCAAGAGAATGCAGAAGTATAAGGTAAAAAATATACTTGTTTATGTTTGAACATAAGTCTTTGACCTAGTGACTAAAGAATGTAGCTAAATTCTACACGTTCCAATTATATGAATAATTCTTCAAGATACTGTTGTTACTGCAACTTTCTCTAGTAATCCTATTGTTATTCTTTTGCAGGACATGTTGACAACAAGAGCTTCTCTTCCCATATCAGAAGTGAAGAATGGCATTCTGCAACATCTAAAAGAACAAGATGTCTTGGTGGTGTGCGGAGAAACAGGATCTGGAAAGACTACTCAGGTTTGGTCTCGTCTGTTTCTCCCTGTTATGTTAGTGCTGATAAAGCCATTAGCAGTGAGTCATTTGTGATTGATACATTATTCCAGGTTCCACAATTTATATTGGATGATATGATCGATTCGGGGCGTGGTGGATACTGTAATATCATATGCACACAACCTCGGCGGATGGCAGTGAGTACCTCGGTGTTAAGCAGCCATGTTTTTTGGAGTTTCTTGCTTCTTTCTACTTTTACTTCTTTCTACTTTTTGGTTCTGTTAGTAATTGGGTGATATGGTTTAGGCTATCTCTGTTGCACAAAGAGTTGCTGATGAGCGCTGTGAAGCCCCTCCTGGATTAGGTGACTCCTTGGTTGGTTTTCAGATTCGTCATCAAAGTGCAAGGTCTGCCTCTTAATTTAAAAAAATATATATATTCAGTTGACTCTTCATGATGAAATTTAAGTTGTTGGAGTTGTATTCTTGTATCAAAAACTGGCTTGTTTCTCTAAGTAGAGCAGCGTCAAATGACTAGACCGAAATTAGGCATTTTAGTTCCAAAGGATGGAGTGTTATGGAGACATTTTCAAATAAGTATGTTTTGTTGTTTTCTTACAGTTCTACTAACTCTTACGTATTGCTATGTCCTTGTGTGTGCTTGTTCAGGAGTAGCAAGACAAGGCTGCTGTTTTGTACTACTGGCACTCTACTGAGGAAACTTGTAGTATGTCCCCTATTTTTTTACTTATCACTTGTCCAAGCAATTGATCCTTATATATGACAAGTGTTTGTTTGTTTTTGTTTTGAAACCTTGCAGGGAGATAATGCCTTGAAAGATGTTACACATATTATAGTCGATGAAGTGCATGAGAGGTCTCTTAAGGTGAGAGTATTCATCAACTCATCCTTAAATTTTCATGTCAAAACAAATATGTGTTGGCATTATTGTTTAGCAAAATAAACACTCGGTGAAGGGTTCTGCTTAAGAAACCCTGCAAGCTTATCTAGTGAATCACCAAAATCACCAAAAGCCAAGTTTTTAGCATTACTTCTAGAATACAGACACCATTCTAATCTTAAAGTAATCTTTTCAAAAGTTTTAAGAAATAACTTGTGGGTGAGAAAACTAATTTTCTTATTTCCATTTCCATTTCAGAGTGATTTTCTTCTCATCATTTTGAAGAGACTGATTGAGAACCAATCACCTAAACTGAAAGTTATCCTTATGTAAGTATTTTTGGCATTTTTTTGCTTATTGTTTTCCAATGTCAAATATTAAATAGTAAGTAAACATTATATGTATTCATTCATCTGTTACCCTTTCAGGTCCGCTACTATTAATGCAGATAAGCTCTCAAGTTATTTCGGTCAGTGTCCTGTAGTTACGGCTCAAGGACGAACTCACCCGGTTACTAGTTACTTTCTTGAGGAGATTTATGAGAAGACTAAATACATTCTGGCTCAAGATTCTCCTGCTGCCCTAAGATCTGATACATCCAATAACGATGAGGTACAGTTTTTGAAACGAAATATATCATTTAGATTGGTATTGTTCAAACTTTTGATATATTGTAGGTAATGTCTGCAGATTGGTTCTGTAAAGATCCCTAGGGGAAAGAAGAATCTTATGTTGGCTGGTTGGGGAGACAATGAATTGGTTTCAGAGGACTGTGTTAACTCGTCTTATGTGTCCAGTAACTACGAATGTTACAGTGACCGTACTAAAGAGAATCTGGTACTTTTGACTTTTTAAGTTTTAGCTTTTGTTTCCTCTTATTTCATCTAGTTGTCCTGACTCCAATATTATCTTGCAGAAAAGGTTAAATGAGAATGTTACTGACTACGAGCTTCTTGAAGAGTTGATATGCCACATTGATGCTACTTGTGAGGAAGGAGCCATTCTTGTGTTTCTCCCTGTAAGTCTGATATCTTTCGTTGTTAAATTGAGAATCAATCTTCTTGTTCTGTCACTTCAGCTTGACATTTTTGTTTGTTGAATGACAGGGAATGTCGGAGATTAACATGTTACTCAATAGGTTAGCTGCTTGCTATTGTTTTCGTGGACCTTCTTCTGATTGGCTTCTTCCTCTACATTCTTCTATTGCACCTAAAGAACAGAGAAAAGTGTTTTTGCACCCTCCTAAAGGCATACGGAAGGTAAAAAAAGGGTTGCAGCAACCTTTTTGTTAAAGTTCTTCTCCATAAAGTATACTGTATTGGCTCTATGGACCCCTGCAAAGACGATCTGATTCGCCTTTTACGTCTTCTTTTTATGTATCAGGTTATTGTAGCTACAAATATTGCAGAGACCAGTATAACCATTGATGATGTTGTGTATGTGATTGATAGTGGCAAACACAAGGAGAATCGCTATAATCCACAGAAGGTATTCAAAATGCTAGTGAATCATGTTTCACTTATATCAGGATATGTAAATGCTATTGATGACATAATGCTGCATTATGATTATTGTTCTTTGTCTCTGAGATGTTATCTTTTGGTGCTGAATGATTTTATCATAACAGAAGTTGTCAAGCATGGTGGAAGATTGGATATCTCAAGCAAATGCAAGGCAAAGAGCAGGAAGAGCAGGACGTGTTAAACCTGGACATTGCTATTCATTGTACACACGACATAGGTTTGAGAAGCTCATGCGTTCCTATCAGGTCTCTTTCTTCTAGATGTTACACTCCTTCGTTTCTCGATCACTTTGGTTTAACTCTCTAAGCTCACTGATTCCATCTTGATGGTTAGGTTCCTGAGATTCGGCGGGTGTCTTTAGTTGAGTCATGTTTACAAATCAAACTGCTTGGCTTGGGTCTTATTAAGCCTTTTCTTTCTAAGGCAAGTGACTACACCGACTCTTGTGAAGAAAATAACTAATATTATCATTCATCTTACTCTTTCTTACACTTACTTTTCTTTAGGCTTTGGAACCTCCGAGTGAAGTTTCTATAATCTATGCAATCTCATTGTTGCGCAAGGTACTACGTACTTGTATTTGATAGAAGTCTTTTTATTTGTAAGGATTCTTAGTTCCTGATACATCCAGAAGTTATTAAACCTCTCTTTTGGACATATAGCTAATGTGTTTCTGTTGTCTTGCAGTGTGGCCTTAGAGTTTATTCATTTAGTTTGTTGCACTTAAAAGAGATTTTTGCATACCTTTAAGAGTTGTGTGCTGAGTCTTATTTTATGAACCTTTGTCTTTTTAGGTCGGTGCTGTTGAAGGGGACGAAGAGTTGACACCACTTGGACATCATTTAGCAAAACTTCCTGTTGATGTGTTGATCGGAAAGGTTTGCTTCAGTAACATCATTGCATGCACATGATCTAACCTCATATCATCACTAAACGTGTTTATTAAAAAAATGCAGATGCTGTTATATGGTGGCATTTTTGGTTGCTTATCACCTATTCTCTCGATTGCTGCTTTCTTGAGCCACAAATCACCATTTGTGCACCCCAAAGATGAGGTACACTTTTTTACTTTCTCGGAACTTGGCTGATTTTCACAAGGAGGTTTCTCAACTAATTTTACGTTTGCTCTTCTTTTCTTAGAAGCAAAATGGGCATCAGGTGAAACTTGCTCTTTTGTCTGATAAGCCCGCGAGTTCTAGTAATATGAACAACAATGACAGACAATCGGATCACATCCTTATGATGGTTGCATATGAGAAGTGGGTAAAGATTCTGCATGAGGTATGTGATAATAGAGTATTTCCAGCTGCTGCTTACTGTTCACATTTCATAGCGTTAGGTCTTCTGAAAAAAGTTGACGTGCTTAATGTGTATGTGATGTCTTCAGCAAGGAAATCAAGCTGCAGAGAGGTTCTGTGATTCAAAGTTTTTGAGCAGCTCAGTGATGCGGACGATAAGGTACATTGTACCTTTGATGCTATAACTTGTATACTAAACATTTTAAAAAAAAATAGAACATAGAAAAGATGGAAAATGAAACTATTTTGTTTGACGGTAGCTTAATTATACGTCTTAGTTGATCTTTTTCTTGTTCACATCATGTTCTCTCTTATTTCTTGTTTTAGAGACTTGAGAATAGAGTTTGGCAATTTACTTGGTGACATGGGGCTCATCAATCTTCCTAATAGTAGAACAGGCGAGGTAACTTATCTTACAAAATCTAAACTAATTAATCGATCTTGCATGGGAGATGCACCAAAACATTATGGTGGTTGTTCCATCATGGCATCATGGTTGTCTAATGAAATCTAATCAGGAATTTACTTTTCTTCTTATTATAGTCCACGCAAAGAAGGAATGAGAATCTTGATATTTGGTTTTCTGATAAAACTCAACCTTTCAACATGTATTCACAAGAACCTGAAGTTGTCAAGGTAAAGTGCTCTTGTGGATAATGTTTTTGTTGTTGTTCTTGTTATGGCTAAGCGTCTATGTAAAAATTTGTTTCCGCAGTAGAGAAAACCCTTTCTCTTTGAGTATGAAGAATGTTTTATATGAACTGTTGGCTCTAGTTTTGTCATTCTTTTGCTGTGGATGCCTGACTTCAGTTACCAATTTGTTACAGGCTATAATATGCGCAGGGTTAAGTCTTAATATCGCAGAAGGATTGGTTAACCGTTTAACGAAGCCAGAAAAACAAACGCAGCGTTATGCAGTATGGCATGATGGAAGAAGAGAAGTCCATATCCATCAAACCTCTATAAACAAAAACTGCAAAGCTTTTCAATACCCTTTCCTTGTCTTCCACGACAAGGTAACTCTACAGTTCACTTGAATCATTTGTTTTTTTCACTTTCTGTCTCTCTCAGATTATGGTGTAAATTTTCTTGATTACAGATTAATATAATCATCAACTTTTCTTGTTTCTTGAAGGTTGAATTAAAGAAAGTCGTATATCTGCGAGATACAACCGTTGTTTCTCCTTTCTCTATTCTACTTTTTGGTGGCTCAGTCGATGTTCATCATCAGGTACTTTAAAATCATGTCTTGCATTTATCTTATAACGATTTTAATGATTTTTTGTTGGTTAATATTTCTCTTTAACTTGAAAACGTTATCTTTGATTACAGAGTGGATCAGTGACGATTGATGGGTGGTTGAAGCTAGCAGCACCAGCTCAGACCGCGGTTTTGTTCAAAGAGCTTCGGTTAACCCTACATTCTATTCTCAAAGATCTTATCCGAAAACCTGAGGTTACATGTTCAAATTATTTTTTAGATTTAGATCCATTTGGTGAAGTTAGTAAGTATAACTCAAGCCTAATCTCTTTGTTTTTGGTTACACAGAAATCAGGAATAGTCCACAACGAAGTCGTCAAATCTATGGTCCATCTTCTTATCGAAGAAGGCAAAACCGTGAGACACATGACGAAGTAAAACAGTGCTCCATCCATGTTAATGAGGATTGAATCTTAAGGAGACGCAACTTTAGATATGACTTATCTAGCTATTTTTCACATCTCTAATGCTCAATTGTCTAACTAGATTAGGTCCGGCATTATAACCTAATATTTTGTAACGAATGAAAAAAATTATTTAAAAGTGAAACAAAATCCGACTACTTGTGATGGTAAAATAAAGATGAAAAGTGAAAACGTTGGATTGTTTTATAAGGCAAAACCATGTAAATTACCTATTTTTTCTTTATTAAACAAGAGTTCAAAATAAATTAATAAAAAAAAATTGACCCAAAAAAAATTAAAAACAAAATTAAAAAACATGTTTTAGTTTTTTAGTTTGAAATTTAGCAATATGAAAAAAGAAATGGGTTGTTACTACAAAATAAAAAACAGTTGTCGATGTGGTGATTAAAATTACTAAACAGAAAAAACAGTTATAGAATTTAAAAAATAACTAAAACATAAAAATAAAAATAAATATTCAGAAAAATGTAAATGTAAATATAAACAGTTATAAAATGCATGGAGAATTTGGATGGTGATGTGTCCAAACTCTTTGTAGGGTGTCCCAAACGGATTTCTGTAAAGATCCCAAATTACTGAAACTTCTGAAACGATTATTTTACCCAGGAGCAAGGCTGCAGATTTATGCGATTCTCTGAGAATCTGCTTGAAGAAAATAGAGCAAAAGGAGTTTTCTTTAATTGATGAGTTTTTTTAGCGATTTCCACAAGGAGAAAAAGTATTACGACGAATGATTGGTTCTTGAAAGGAGTTTACAGAAAGACCATATCTGATCTGAGAAGGTTCTGTGGAAACAATTCTGGTGACTGTAACGACTATTATGATCTGATAAATCGAAATTATGGTTTGCTCATATCGTGCACATCCAATTTTTCTAATAAGATTTCATCTACTGTAAACTATTTCACTAAATTTATGATGTGTGTAAGTTGTAGTATCTGACTAAAGACTTATACAATCGATTGAACTATATTAAGTCCTGTAAATCGGAATCATCATTTATTTTAAGTATCAATTTAGACATAAAATTGACACAAAAACTATATGAATAAATTGCTTCATACGAATATGGAATATGTTAATTGCTTATTAATTTGAAGTGTATGGTAAATATTTAGAAATCACAATAAGAAAATAAATTAACTTGGATTAGTGGAAACAAAAATCTGAGAGAATAGTAAAATAAAACAAATTTCGTTCGGATTAGATTAGCAATAAAAAGAATATGAAAATAATAATTTTGCTCTAAAAGTGTTAAGTTTTTCTGTAATAAAATAGAGAAAAAAATGAAAATTAATATTTACTTGTTTGTTATACAATTATACTTGTATTTACTGGTGGAGGTTTTTGTACCAGCAGCTGAACAATGATACAAAAATTATTTTCATACAATTAAAACTAATAAGCAATTAACATAATTCAAGTTCGTTATGAAGCAGTTAATACATATAAATTTGTGTCAGTCTGAAAATGGGGCTTTTCGTTATAAAAATTATTTACTTATAGGAATAAACTTTGGTCAAATGGTATTAAAATTCATTTTTTTCGCCAAAACCGCAAACCCCTGTTTCTTTTTGCAGAAACTGCAAACCCATTTTCCCTTTTAAAACCGTGTTTTTCCAATGAAACACCATCAACACTCAATTATCCGATGAAGCTTCCCCAAAAAGACACCTTAAGCTTAGGCAATGCTATAAGTTCTCTGAGAAAAAGGGGTTAAAACAAGAACATTTTCATTTGAAACTCGATCAGTGCATAAGTAACCAAACATCTTAATTCAGCAAGCTCTGGCAGATTCGAATTTTAATTGTTCGCAGAGCTTACAAAAGTTGCCATTTTTGGGAAAAACACAACAGCCATGGTAGTTTTTGCAAGTAGCAGATGCTCAGATGTTATCCTCTAAGAGGCTTGATGGAAGATCAGAGAAACTTTGCATTTTTCAATAGCCTTAAAGCACAATATCCATCTGTTGCCTCAGCCGCAAGCAAGACAACCAAAAATGTTTAAACGTTCAAATCGTAGTAGTTCCTTATAAAAAGTAGTTGACGTTCCTTACAAAACGTTCAAATGTTTAAGTATTTTAGCTATGTCATACTTTAATTTTTATTTGTAGAGATATATGTTTTGATAAATCCAAACATCAGTCACCATAACATCACCTAAACAGAACATGTTGAATTTTCAGATGTATGAATTCGTGTAGTCATTATAAATGAGATGATGAGACAACAAAATAAGCTTCAATTTAGTTACATGAACATCATCTAGAAGGCTAAAGTATAAATCTTTTGTGTGAGGTATTTGATTAATGATTGGTTTCCTGCTAAAAAAGATATATCGAAAGTGATACAAACACAACAAAATAAACGAACAAATATTTACTTTGTTATACTTGTATTTGTATAGCTGTATACTGGTGGAGGTTTTTGTACCAGCAGCTTCCCCAAAAAGACACCTTAAGCTTAGGCAATGCTATAAGCTCTCCCAGAAAACGGGTTAAAACAAGAACATTTTCATTTGATCTCGATCAGTGCATAAGTAACCAAACATCTTAATTCAGCTAGCTCTGGCAGATTCCAATTGCAATTGTTCGCAGAGCTTACAAAAGTTGCAATTTTTGGGAAAACACAAAAGCCATGGTAGTTTTTGCATCTGTTGCCTCAGCCGCAAGCAAGACAAGCAAAAAAATTTAAACGTAGAGGAAGTTCTTCAAATCGTAGTAGTTCCTTACAAAAAGTAGTTGACGCTTTTATGAAGTAGTAATGTAACATAAGTATTTTAGCTATGTCATACTTTAATTTGCATGTTTAGAGATGTATATGTTTTGATAAATCGGCCCTGTTCTTTCACCAGTCGCAGCGGCTGCGATTGCGACAGAGCAAAACGACAGCAGTGACGCGGAGGAATAAAGGAAAACGACAATCCAGAGCCTGAAAATAACAACCTCGAGTTAGTTACGGATAGCAGCGATGAGTCGCGACGGCATCAGATGATCGCTGAGAAGTAGTAGCGACTCCCAATCTTCCTTGCGTTCATCATCTGCGACTGTTTTACTCTCGTTTTCCTCTCATTAATGTGTTTTCTTCTCTTCGCCAAAGCTATTTGTCTCCGTCGCAGTCGCAGCCGCAGCGGCTAATCAACGAACACGGCCATCCAAACATCAATCACCATAACGTCACCTAAACAGAACATGAACCTGGTGAATTTTCAGATGTATGAATTCGTGTAGCATTATACATGAGATGATGAGACAACAAAATAAGCTTCAATTTAGTTACAGGAACATCATCTAGGAGGCTAAAGTATAAATAATTTGTATTAGGTATTTGATTAATGATTGGTTTCCTGCTAAAAGATATATTGAAAGTGATACAATCATACAAACACAACAAGATAAACGAACATCTTCATTGGTCATTTCTTGATTTCTTGATTCTCTGTGACTGTGTTTCAAGAAATTATGAATAGCAGAGTTTCTTTAAAAGTTTGAATGTTAGTTCCAAATTTTTGGTCCTATGTTCTGTAATGTGGAAACTGCATAAGCTTTGTGTCTTGTTGAGTTTTCCTTAGCTTGAAATAGAAGTCTTTGGATTGTGATTGGGCTAAGATTGATTGTCTCCACTCTTAACAGCCGGTTAAGACATAATGAAACTAAGATCAAACGTTGAGCTGCAATTAGAGAAACTCTCCTTGACTTTGCGTACATTTGCTACAACCAAGAGACTGCTAACTTGTTATGTTTCTTCCATGAACAGATCAAATGCAAATTAAGAGTAACAAGTTAAGTGCTTTCAACTGATTTTGTCATTTCAAATCTTGTCTTTGCTTGTGAACATTCTCTGTTTTGCTGTGTTTATATCAAATACTTTACCCATTAGATGATTTGTTTTATATCCGAAATCAATTGAGTACATCTGTACATGTATTTCGGGTCAATACGGTTTGGGTTATTGGATATTACTAGTATTATGCCCGGTGCTATGCACCGAAGAATATAATTTAATTGCGCTATATTTATATTTGATGACCCAAAAACAATTTATCAAATACAAAACATTTTGACCAAAACTGCTCTTTGATTCAATCTTTATTTTGTCATATACATTGGTATAAGGTCGAAATGATTAATTTTGAATTTAGCAAATTATTGGTTTTGCACTTGTTGATTGTTTTACAGATATTCAATGATATCCCGAGTGTCTTATCCTAATGATAACCATTACAGTATGTGGTGTTTGTCAAACAATATAATGATGTACCTGACGATCACACGCCCTGACATCACATACGCTGTGAATTGCCTGTGTCAGTTTACTTTTGCTCCAAAGGCTTCTCATCTTCATGCTGCTCATAAGGTCCTCCACTACTTGAAAGGCACTATCGGTTTGGGTCTCTTCTACTCAGCTGAATCTAACTTACTGTCGCAAGGATTCACTGATGCTGATTGGAATTCCTGCTCCGATACGCGTAAGTCTACTTCTGGCTTTTGTATGTTTCTTGGCCCTTCCCTGATTTCCTGGAAATCTAAGAAACAACAAACATCTTCTCACTCTTCGGCTGAATCTGAGTATCGAGCTATGGAATTCGCTATGAGAGAGGTTACTTGGCTTGTCAATCTTTTGGAGGAGTTCCTTGTCAAGCAACCTCACTCTGTGGCTTTCTACTCTGACTCCAAGGCAGCGATACACATTGCCAATAATGCTGTTTTTCATGAGAGGACTAAACACATTGAGAATGATTGCCATATCGTTCGGGACAAGGTTCTTAGTGGATTGATCAAGACTTTGCACATCACGACCGAGTCTCAACTTGCGGATGTGTTCACTAAACCTTTGTTTCCTACTCAATTCAATTATCTCATTAGCAAGATGTCGCTTCTATCTATATACTCGCCATCTTGAGGGGGGGATATTAAAGTATATGATTGAATTGTTGTAAACTGGTTCTAATCGTGTGTGGTTAACCAGAATCAAATCTCTTTATAAGAGAAACACTATAGCGTCATTAATGAATAACAGAAATTATTCTCTCTTTCAGCTCATCTTCTCAGATGATTCTCCTTTACTAATAAGATCCATTTGGTGAAGTTAGTAAGTATAACTCAAGCCTAATCTCTTTGTTTTTGGTTACACAGAAATCAGGAATAGTCCACAACGAAGTCGTCAAGTCTATGGTCCATCTTCTTATCGAAGAAGGCAAAACAGTGAGACACATGACGAACTAAAACACTGCTCCATGTTAAAGAGGATCGAATCGTGTGTAAAGGAGACGCAACTTTAGCAAATTTTCGTATCTCTAATGCTCAATTGTCTAACTAGATTAGGTCTCGCATAATCTAATATTTTGTAACGAATGAAATTTAAAAAAATTGAAACAAAATCCGACTATTCTCTTGGCCAACAAACTCAAAAATCAAAATTATAACCCTAAACTGCATCAGTAATTCATGGACACGGGAGAATACAAATGATGAAAACAAAACGCGAATAATTAAAGATGGAATCCCCCACAATAAATAAAGAAGACAAATTACCTTGAAAGTAGGCTAAATCAAGAGATATATTGAGAGTATTTAAAGAGAGAGAAGGGATAATTAGATTTAGCGGTCTCTTTTCATTATAAGGTTTACAGTTTTTGTTTATAGAGGTTTTATTTATGGTTTTATTTTAATGATTGGCCGAAAAACTGAAAGCAAATTACTAATTTTACTGATTTTTAATTTTTTTAAGACCATAGGTGTTTTCTTTTTCGGAAGGTTTAAAAAAAAACATTTGAAAGCGAGATAATAGTATGCAAATTATTTCAAACATTTATTAGCCCAGATAATAGTATTAAGCAAATTATTTCCCTATTGGTATTTAATTTATTTAAAGTGTGAGAGAATGAGATAGTTTCATTCTCCCAAAATCACCTTTTTACCCATGTACATTAAATGTCTGTCTGGCAACGTAATTGCGGCATGGGCATGGGAGGCTTTTGGCAATGTTATTGCAGCATGGGCATGTCACTATAATAACAAACAAGGAGTGAGGAGTGAGGAGTGAGGAGTGAAGAGGAGACCAAAACGAAAAAAAAAAACAAAAAGAGAGATAAAAAATAAGGTTCTTACTCTATCAATTGTGTCTTCTTGTCCTCGTGTTGAACTCCATTTCAGCACAAGACAACAATTCAAGGTCTTGTGAGCGCCACTGCATAAACATATCCATACAGTATCCTTTTGGAATTGGACGGGTAAAAAGAAAGGTCTGGTATAAGTCTGAGCTTTTGCTTATAAAATCAAATTATTAATTTTAATGTTATTTTGGTTTTTTAAGTCCATAGCTGTTTTCTTTTTCGAAAGATTTTTGAAAGAAAAAGAAATTGTTTGCCCATACAATAGTATTATGCAAATTATTTCAAACATTTAGTAGCCCAAATAATAGTATTATGCAAATTAGTTCACTAAGAGTATATAAGTTATTTCAAGTGTGAGAGTAAATGATAGAGCTTCATTCCTCAAAATCACTTCACAAATTATAGTATAAATTTGAATTACATGTATTATTTTCTCTATTATTATTTATGTTTGACTTGTTTTTACCTTCTAAATACTCTATTAATCAAGCTCTAACTATAACACATGTCATAATATGGTAAATCGAAATGATCATATATGTCGTACTTTTCTCGTGCACATCCGATTTTATATAAAAAGATTTTAAATAAGGCAAAACCGCAACACACATGAGTTACAAACTGAAACTCTTTGCTCCTGGTAAAATAGTCATTGATAAGTTGCAGTAACTCTGGATCTTGACAGGAGTCGGTTTGTGGGCACTCTATGAAAAGTTTTGATACATCATCATTCAAATTCTACATGCATTCGCCAGGAGTCGGTTTGATTTTCTTGTGATTTTGACCGGACTTTATTCATCTTTTCTCAAAAGAAACAAACAAACCGACTTCGTAACGCTTGTTGACTTGAATAGAGATAGTAAAGTGCGATGGATTTGCTCAGTTTCTGTCTCACGGAGACAAAATTCTCAGGACTTAAGTAATGAGTTTCAACGAGATAAGTAAAGGTAATGAGTCTGGTTAGGTTGTCTAGTTAATTTGGTAAGAACAAGTGAGCGGTTTGTAGTCAATTTAGTAACAAAGTTTGTCAAAGTTGTAAGGAATCTATTTTGCAGATATACATATCATTCATTAAAATCTTGATTTTCTGTGACTGTGTTACAAGAAATTATGAATTGCAGATTTTCTTTATAAGTTTCAAATGTGAGTACCAAGTTTTTGGTCCTATGTTCTGTAAATAGTAAATACCAAGTCTTTAGATTGTGATTGAATTAGATTGATCTACTCGTCAAAATGATGAAACAACATTTCAACATTAAGACATGATGAAACAACACAAAATGTTAAGTTGCAAGAGAAGTATCCTTGACTGTATTCTGAAAAATGCAGAAGCTTTGTGACTTGTTGAGTTTTCGTACAGCTTGAAATGGAAAATTTGAAGTCTTTGGATTGTGATTGGGCTAGATTGATTGTCTCCACTCTTAAGATCCGGTTAAGACATAATGAAACAAGATCAAAGTTTGAGCTGCAATTAGAGAAACTCTTCTTGACTTTGCGTACATTTGCTACAACCAAGAGACTGCTAACTTGTTATGTTTCTTCCATGAACAGAAATTAACACAAAAAGTTAAGTGCTTTCAACTGATTTGGTTGTGAACATTCTCTGTTCTGTTCTGCTTCTGTGTTTATTATATCTCCTTGCTTTGCTTTTCATTATGAAGATGTTAGAGAACAAAAACGTAACTCTTTATTTAATTTCGAAAAGTTACAACGATAGGATCACAATCTCATAGCTCAAACCATTTCTGGTAAACAAAAACATAACTCCTAAATCCTCAATTACATGACTCAAACAAACTAGTCAAATCCACTTCAACTGAAACTTGTAATGCTTGAGAGTGACAAACCTGATCATTGTTCCTCATTCATGGGAGATCACTTTTGAGCTTAGAGCTACCAAAACTGATACTAAACATGAGAAAGATCTCTCCTTTCTTCTCTCTGCCGCCAAGAACACTTTTTTTCTCATCTCATCCCATCTCACTCAAACAAGATTATGATAGATTCTGGTGTAAAGGCAATGCAATCGATCATTGACATAGACAAGCTTTGCTAAGCAGATAAGTGAATCTGATAAACAGTAGCAAACTTCTCAGTAGTCTCCGTTAGTTGCTCCAATATAGCTCATCTTTTGCTCTTCATCTCCTTTACAAAAATGTAACACAAGAAAACGAAGCTTCCCCAAGAAAGACAGCTTAAGAGCTTAGGCAACGCAAAGCTCTCGAGAAAACGTCTTAAACAAGAACATTTTTTTAACAAACCATCTATATTGGAGCAGCTTAGCTCCGATAGTTTCAAAGTGTACGCGTTCCCTTTCAATGGTTCTGCAGAGTTTTAAAAATTTGCCCTTTTTGAGAAAACACAAAAGCCATGGATTGTTTCTCCACTACTACTCGAACAGATAATGCAGCTTCATGGGTGGAAGATCTTTAACACGAAATGAGACAAATTCGTTGCCTTTTTGTTCTGAGTTTTGGATCTACAATTCAAAATCAAATTCGAATTAGCCAAAGGTTGCGGCATTTTTCGATTTCGTCTCGAAATAAACCAAACTGTACAAAATTTTGGAAATTTCACAGAAAAGTTAAGCTAAGGGTCGAAATTATAAAAAGTCTATCAACCTTGTTAACTCCACCAACACTGGATCTTATAATTTGAAAACAAAATGCTTGAGAGTAACAAACCTTCAACGTAGGACGGTGGCCGGAGACGACGAAGGGTGACGCCATGGTCGGAGACGACGGTGATACGGTGATCGCGGCAATGTTGTGTTTGATTATTTTCAATAAGCTTTGTTTTCGATTTAGCCAACATGGTTGTTTATTGGCCCATTAAAAGCCCATTAGTCAAAACGACGACGTGACTAGTTAAATTTGCAGAGAAAAGAAAGATTGGTCATTTTGTTAGTGTTTAAATTTTAAAAAATAAAAGAATCAAAAATTGGGGTGTCTCCAAATTTCATAGACTAGACTAATGTCCGCGTATATGCGCAGATTTTTCTGTTGTTATTATTAAAAAAAAAATTGAAAGACAAGTATAGATTTGTGATCATACATACTATAAACTCTTACCCAAATAATACTAACATTTTAATTTCAGCTTATATGATTGATTAATAATTGCTTTCAAATATAGATTTTTGTATTATACCACATGTCTTTATACCATCAATTCTGTTTATTTATTCACCTTTACATAGAACCGATTCTTTCAGTTTTGCTTGTGAAACTGATGCTCTTTGTGCTCGGGAAGAGGTCGTCGTGCTCGTCCGACCTCGGTTCGAGAAGCTAGTGGCTTACATTGAGGGCGAAATTAAGTCGGCGTCGGACTTGTCGATGATGTGCCAGGCCAAGGGACTACATGAGGCGTATATCGCCTCGTCGAGAGCGGCCTTCCCGTTTTCCAATAGCTGATCGATGACTTCGCCGTGGACTTCAAGGAGTACAAGGCCAAATACAAGAATGCCGACCATCCCAATATGACCCTGGAGGATTACTCTCTTTTTCCCGTGGAAGTGGTCGAAGGCGCTCCAGTGGCGGTTGAGGAGGAGGTCGGAGAAGATGGCGCTCTTCCTGAAGCAGCTCGTGAGGTTGAGCTTGGAACCGGTGATGGTGAGGAGGTTGATTGAATTCTCTCCGTAATTCTGTTGTTTTTCTTCCCGTGGTTGTTGTTACCCACTTTTGTTTTAACTCTGAATTTTGTTTATCTCTCTGATCAGTGCCAAAATTGGCTTTTGACTCTTTATTTTGCTATTAATATGATCGTGTGCTATGGTTGGCTTTTTCTTATATATTTTGCGTGTTCGTTTTGCCTTAGAAGATTTTAGCATTGTGTGAGACTGGGCTCGAATCGTTTGATTTTTTTTTTTTATTGAAGCAGGTGGACCTCTTGCGAGGTTGCCTATGTATCCCGAATGGGGTTAAGCCAGACTGTAATTCATTATACAATATATACATATCTGTACATTATATATATTTTTTGCGCTTTGTGCGTCGGACGAACGGAAAGGGGCTTATGTATGCTAATTGATCGGAGGGAGGGCGTCTGTACGCTGGTCGGACGCATGTACACTGATCGGATGTATGTACGCTGATCGGGTGATTTGCTTCAGTAGTAGAACCGTTTGAGGCTGGTTCCGTTCCATAGTCGGAAAACTGCTTCTCCGGCCATTGTGACGAGCTCGTAGACACCTCTTCTGACGATCTTTGAGACGATGTAGGGGTCTTCCCAGATGGCTCCGAGCTTTCCCACGTTTTCTTCCTTGGTATCTTTGTAGGTTTTCCTCAAGACTAGGTCTTCTTCCACGTAGTTGTTTCTCCTCACAGCCTTGTTGTAATACTTGGCCGCGGCTTGCTGGTAGTTTTGTAATCTTAAGAGAGCTCGGTCTTTTTCTTCTTCGAGCTGATCAAGTTGGTCGTGGATCATGTTTCTGTTGTCCGGGAGGGCTGTTTGGCGCAGACCTTCGATGCCGACCTTGTCGGGTGACATGGCTTCCATTCCGTGGGATAAAGAGAAGGAGATTCTGCTCGTCGATATCCTTGGTGTCGTTCTGTACGACCAGAGCAAGCCATCCAGCTCGTCAGCCCATTTTCCTTTCTTGTTGTCGAGTCTCTTCTTGAGTCCGGCAATGATCCTTTCGTTCGTTGTTTCGGCTTGGCCGTTTCTTTGCGGATAGCGCAAAGTCGACTTGTTCAGTCTGATCTTCCACCGAGCACATAATTCTTTGAACTTGTTTGAGATGAACTGCGATCCATTTCCTGTGACGATCTTGTAGGGGAGACCATACCTGCAAATGATATTCTTCCATATGAACTTCTGAACATCGTGATCGCGGATCGTTGCATAAGACTCTGCTTCTGCCCACTTCGTGAAGTAGTCGGTCATAACCAGGACGAATATTTTCTGCATTGATGGAGGAATAGGCCCGATGATATCCATGGTCCATCTCATGAACGGATACGAAGTCGCGGATGATGATAAGAGCTCGGAAGGTCGGTAGCTGATCGGCGCATGCCTCTGGCATTGCTTGCAGCGTAAGACATATTGCTCGCAAGGATTGATCATGGTCGGCCAGAAGATCATGTGCTTCTTTATCTTCAGTGCCAAGGCCCAACCTCGGGAATGATTTCCTTTAGCGCCTTTGTGGGTTTCTGCCATCACGCGCTTAGCTTCCACTGGTCTGAACAAATTCATCAGCATATTCGACGTACTTCTTCTGAATAGGTTTCCATCAAGTGTGATATAGTAGGCGCTGCGAGCTTTCAGCCTTCTTGCGGCCCATTTATCCCTTGGGACGTCGCCCATTTCGATGTAGTTTTTGATCGGGTCTCTACAGTCTTCTTCTGTGACAGGGTCGTTTACTTTATCCATGGGCTCTCAAACTACTTCTTCTATATCTTTGGAACTTGGTTCTTCGTCGCTTTTGATGAGGCTTGAGTTGGTGTTGGGCTCGATACTGCTCGGATCGCCGTCGGTAATTGTCATGGTCACGTCAGGCTTGTTGATGCTTGGGCGATCGATACTTCCTACTAGTATCAACCTTTTGAGGTTAGGGTCCGACGTTGATGCGAGGGCGGCGAATGCGTTTCCATACGAGTTGTCATTGCGAGGTATCTTGATGAGCGTAAAGCTGGTAAACTCTTTTGCTAGGTCCTGCACGACCTTGAGGTAGGCATCCATGCAGTCGTTATTGGCTTCATATTCACCGTTCAACTGGTTGGCGACGAGCTGAGAGTCGTAGAAGGCGTTGATCTTGGATATGGAGAAACGCTTCGTATTCGGTTTTTTGACGCTGGGAAACCAAGGTAGAACAATTGCTCGAGGACTTCCTTGGTTGGCGCGATCAATCTGATGCCGACCCGGATCCGTTGCAGGATGATGAACTGTCGAAAAAAAAGGTCTATCTTTTCGACATCTCCTGTTCGGTCGCCATATGCTCTGGAGGGAGCTCGATGATGAAATCGGCCAGAACCTGAGACTTTGCGTTTGTATGTGGCTTGTACTCTATATCATATTCATCAGCTTGTTGGCCTATTTTGCTACTCGGCCCAATTGACTGTGATTGTGAAGGATTGACCGTACAGGATGGTTAGATAGCACGACCACCGAATGGGACTGAAAATATAGTCGCTACACACTGTTGGGGTCGGAATACTTCCCATTGAGTTCAACGATAAAGACGTTCCAGGAAGAGTGTTGGCCCAGATCGATCGAACCCAAGAGCCCGCAGGTCGATCGAGCCCAAGAGCCCACAACAGGTCGATCGAGCCCACAGATTGATCGAGCAAGAGCACACAGATCGATCGAGCCCACACAACAGCAGATCGATCGAGGGGTAAGAGCAACAGTTCGCTGGCTCTTGTGTCGGGTTGAAAGGTTTCTGGGAGACATTAGGCAAAATTGATTTAGATTGATCAAGGGTTTAGGAAAGAAGACTGAAGAGAGGAAGTTGAGGAGGCAGAGGTTTAAGTCGTAAAATGTGTAAAGACTTTATTAACCCTGACCATCAATGTCTTAGGCCCTTTAACAAAAAAAATATTTTAAACATAGGACAACGCAAGCCCAACAAACTTGCTTTCTTTTCCTATAATATAGGACAACACAAGCGGCAATACTATACGCAAGAAAAAAAACAGTTTTTAGTATAATTGACTGTTATTGATAGGGTTGATGATTTTTAAATTCTATTCAAAATCGTTTGTTCTTCAAAAAAGTTTAGTTATTATTAATTTTGTGATTCAAATCTAATAATATTAGAACATAAATTCTTTGAAATATTATTTTGAGAAGACAGATTTTCTACTAAAATGTTTTTAAAAATACACAAAAGTATATATAGTTAGCAAATCTCTACTTTTTTTTTAAGAAACAGACTAACTAATAGTACGCGCCAAAATATCTGTATTTAAGAAACAGACTAATAGTTCTTGCTAAAACACAAAGTGAACTTCGTGCAGCAAGAAGAGCGTAGACAAGTAGAATCCGATCCATTTCGAACTTTGGTTTGGAATCGGCTGTTGGTTTTCTGCTCTCCTTGATTTTCCTTAACCAAAACTCTACTCACGGCCGAGCTTGATACTGATATGTAGAGGTAGTGCGCTTTTCCTTGCTCGTGCTTAGATAAAACCTGAGGGGTTGATAGATATTGCTTGAGTTCTTTGAAAGATTCCTCGGACCGAGCATCCCATTCGAACATTTGGTTTCTTCTTAGGAGCTCGTAGAAGGGTAGACACTTGTCCGTCAACCTGGAGATGAACGTCGTCAGGGCGGCTATCCGAACTGTCAACTGCTGGACTTCCTGCACATTCCTTGGTGATGGTAGATCGAGTATAGCTGTGATCTTCTTCGGGTTTGCTTTGATTCCTCTTTTGGTGACAATGTAATCCATGAATTCTCCAGACATGACTGCGAACGAGCACTTGGTCAGATTGAGCTTCCTCCCATAGCTGTTCAAACTTTCGAAACATGCCTTCAGATGCTTGATGTGGTCTTCTTCATTCTGAGATTTGAACGAGCATTTCGTCTATGTACACCTTACTCGTGTGTCTGAGCTGGTCGGCAAACATTTGATTCACTAGTCGCTGGTAGGTCGGTCCCGCGTTTCAGTCCGAATGGCATGACATTTTAGCAATACGCTTCCCGCTTTGTGATGAATACCGTCTTCTCCCGATCATCCGAATGCATCATGATTTGGTTGTAGCCCGAAAAGGCGTCCATGAATGATAATAGCTCGTTCCCTGCTGTGGCTTCGACTAGCCGATCAATGTGCGGTAGGCGGAAGTTGTCTTTCGGGCACGATTTGTTAAGGTCAGTGAAATTGACGCAGACGCGCCACTTGCCATTCTTCTTTTTGACGACCACCAGGTTCGCTAACAAGTCGGGATATCTGACTTCTTCGATAGATCTAGCATTGAATAGTCTTTCGACCTCGTCGTTTACGGCTTGGGGCTGTTCGGGTCCAAGCGTCCTCATCTTCTGCTTGATCGGCTTGAAAGTTGTGTCCATGTTCAGCTCGAGGCAAACGATGTTTGGATCTATGCCCGTCATGTCCACATGTCGATCGAGCCCGCATGTCGATCGAGCCCACAGGTCAATCGAACCCGCAGGTCGATCAAGCCCACAGGTCGATCGAGCCCACAGGTCAATCGAGCCGACAGGCCGATCGAGCCCACACAACAGCATATCGATCGAGCCAACAGATCGATCGAGCCCACACAACAGTAGATCGATCGAGACAACAGATCGATCGAGCCCACACAACAACAGATCGCTCGAGCCCAAGCGAATGTTGACGCGTTCTTTGTGAAAAAAAGGGATGAGCTCCTCCTTGATGACTGGGTCTAGATTTGCTCCGATCCCTACGCACTTCTCCGGATCGGATGGATCGATATTAACTTGCTCGATGATTTCTCTATCTTCTTCTTTCGATGACGGTGTCTCTAGCTCTTCTTCGGTGATCGTGAAGTTGATCATACAAGATTTTTCTGTCTTCCGCAGCTTATGCTCGTCAATGAAGCATGTTCGTGTGACTCGTTGATTTCCTCTGATCGTGATGACTCCTTCGGGTCCTGGTAATTTCAGGCATTGGTGACGGTATTGCTCTCATCGCGTATAGCCATGGTCCTCCGAGTATAATATTGTAGATGGCTGGTTCGTCGACGACCAAGAAGTTCACCATCGTGGTTACCTGTCCGACGCACACGGAGAGCATGATCGTTCCAATCGTTATAGTTGTATCTCCTGCGAAACCGGTTAGCGGTGTCGAGCACGGCTTTAGATCGAATTTGGTCAGCTCCATCTTCTCTAACACTTCTTTGAACAAGAGGTCGACCGTGCTTCCTATGTCGACCACGACTCTAGACACCTTGCAGTCTCCGACCTAGACTTTGATTACCAGAGGTTCCTTGTGCGGCATGTCCAACCATTCGAGATCTTGGTCTGTAAACGATATTGCGACGTTTGCGTTGTGCTCGGCTTTGATCGATTGGACCGAACCGTTGCACATGGTTAGTCCGCCTATGGTCATGTTTGATGGCGGGTTTAGATTGCCTCAAATTTTCACAATTTATAAACCCAACTAATGAGCTGCAAGTGCACAGCCGTGTTGTAGTCGGGGTCGAACACGAGGAGGAAGTGTTCTCGCTTAACACCTTGTGAGATTGGTTTGTAGCTAGCTCGCAATATGGATGGTTTTGGACCTAGAATGAGAAAGCAAAACAAAAGAAAGTATGAGTGAGGTTGTAAACAATTTAAAACAAGAGTTAGGCAAAGGACAATCATATGGAGCAATGATGAAAAGATAGTTGCATGGGATGTGTGTAGAGCCGTCTTGAACATGAATCACTAGTGTATGGTCTTTCCACTGTCGTGGCTCCAACCACTATGTTTAAAACAACCTAATATACTCAGCTTTCGTTGGCTATTAGTATTGCAAACATGCATTAAAGATGATCAAGATTCAATTGTTCACAATAAACCATAACTCAGCTTTCGTTGGCTATGATCTATTGCTCACCAAATACTAGTTTTGAGATCTAGATTCAGCACTGTCGTGGTTCTATTTCTCTAAGATCAGATTACTAGATGTACGGTAGAGTAATCATGCATTAAGCTCAAGTAAAGGTGAAGATCCATAAGATAAATCCCAATAAGTTGCAACACAATCAAATCATCACGGCCACCATAGATCTCCTCGGCCTAACTAAGAGATCTACTCGGCCATGATGCAAACAAGCAAGCAAAGCATGATTGTAAAGCATTATGCAAGTATTAAAAGAGATAAAGGGATGAAGAAAGCTTCTCTATTGATGAACAAAGTCGGATTCTCCCTTGAAAACTCTTAAATCAAGTTTATAGAAATGGAAACAATGAAAAAGAAAGAACAAGAGTTGAGCGGCGCCTCCTTCTTCTTGGACGATCTCCTAGGGCTTCTCTCTCTGGCTCTCTTCTCTGTACTCTCTTTCACAAACTCACTGACTCTTCTTCTTCAGCGGCTAAAAACATGTATATATGGGCGAAGTCGAGTAGGGTTTTCTTCATGCCGGAAAAGGAAAGTTTCCCATGAGAGCCTTCTTCTCCACGTCGTGTATGGGCCGACATTGTACCAAGGAAAGCTCCAAACATTAGCCAGGCCTCTTCTCTATTCGATCAAGGCCTTTGGCGCTGCTGCTCGGGCCATTAGACACTCCAAATCCTCCATGGGCTTCGTTTGCTCGCTTACCGGACATGTCTCGGTAGAAAATAAGTTCCGGCCTCATGGTTGATCCAAATGGCTTCATTCCACTTCGACGTGATGCATGACTCAAGTATCTATCTTTCCATATCAAGATCGTAACTTTTGGACGTCGGGAACTCCTCCGCGCGGCCAAACTTCCGAAGCTTCGTTCTGCTCGCTAGCGAGAACTAACACTTGGAGATAAAATGATGTTCTTGACTTGGAAACTTGCATGGATCTTGGTTTAGGGCTCTTTTACTCCTTTTTGCATCCTTTTTGATGGTTTCACCTACAAAGACTTCAAATCCCACAAATACAAGAAAACTACCTCTAAAGGCAAAGAATCTTGCAAAAACCGTTTGAAAACATAAATAGTTATATAGTAAAATCATGTAAAATATGTGATATCAATGTTCACTCTTCTCCTTGCGGCATGTGGGTTCTCGATTGTTCTTTGCTCGTCTTTGGCCCTTGTCGGTGGCATCATGTCATCGGCTGTTTGTCTGCCCGGCTGATCTCGGCTTGAGCTTTCTTGTTTGCGATCTTCCTAGACTTGCTTGAAATGTTCGGCTTCGTTGCGGGGCGAATTCTTATGTCCCTTCTGCTCGTCCTCGTGCTCGGTTCTTGTGCTTATTCCTTCTCTCTTTAGATACTCTGGTAAAGATGCTCTTGTAGGTGTGTGCACTCTTGGTCGGGTAACCATGAAACTTGTGGTATTCGCAGTAGGGCTTAGAGTTTGGAGGGCCTCCGTCGCTCCCTGGTCGGACATATTTGTTCCATTTCGGGCCGGAGTGGTTGTTGCTGATCTAATAGGTGCTCACCCTCCTGCTTTTTGTAATTATGCTTGTAATTGTCATCGTAGTGCTGCAGAGGTTCTCGATACTCCTCTTGTGGCTTGTCTTTTCCGGGCACGGGCTTCGGAGATGCGTACTTTTTTGTCATGGCTGTCTTATCTTCTTCGAGCTCGACATACCCTGATGCTCGGTGTAATGCATCCTCGAGGGTGGTCAGCCTATTCAGGATTATGCGCACGTTTCAGGACGGCTATTGCGGTTTTATCTTCGATAGCTATATGTGATCCCACAGTCGTGAACCTGTCGATGAAGCTTCGCATAGATTCTTTCAATCCTTGATGTAGGCTGTAGAGGTCGGCGACTGAGACATCTTCGCGAATTTGTATCCAGTAGTGTTTGATGAAGGCCTCGGTCAGCTGATTGTAGCTTTCGATCGAGTTTGGCTCCAACTTAGAGAACCATTGCAGGGCGGCATCGGTCAGTTTTCCTACGAACAACTTGCAGTACGCGGCATTTTGTTCCTTGGGAGTGAAGTTGTATCTCTTCATGTCGATGTGGAAGGCGGTGAGGAACCTGGCCGGATTGGTTTGCCCGTCGTAAGAATGGATGTTCAGCTTGCCCTGAGGTTGGATCACGGTAGTGACGATCTCATCTGATAATGGTGTGTTGTGCGCTTCTTTGAGGACTCTAGCGATCTCTGGCGCCGAGCTCGTTGCCTGGTGATCTTCGACATTACCATCCTCATCTGCTCCTGGAGTCGATTTATCTCTCGATCATGGTCTCTGTCTCTCAGTTGTTGACGTTGGCTGCGCGATTGCGTTGGTCAAGGCATTCATGCTCGGAGTTGGAGGCTCGGGATGAGGCGCTTGTTCGGGCTGATCGTATTCTCCGAACAAATCTCTTTGCAGTCTTGGTGTGATGTTCACTGTTGCCGTTCTCTGTGATTTGTGGCTCCTTGAGTTCTGTAGCTCGCTGATCTGGCTTTGGGTGACGTTCTGGGCGGTCGTTTGCTCGTCGAACTGCGAGGTCGTTCTTTGAGAGAGTGTCGATCTTGCTCATCATGGCTTCAAGTAGTGCTGAGAGACTCGTTAGTTTGTCGCTGGCTGGTGTTTACTGGCTCGGCTGCGCTCGGGTTATCGGCCGTAGAATGCGGAGCATCCGTCTGCTCAACAGAGTTGCGTTGATTTCGGGATCGGCAGAGTGATCCTGGTCGGTAGATGTTGCGGCGGGGATCGTCTCACCGGTCGGATCGTGCTCCGGCGCAGGATCTGGAGCTGGCGGTAGGTATTCTCGAGTCGGTTGTCCCGTCATTTCTGAGCTTCGCTTCGTTGCGTATAAAAATTCCTATGTCCCGATAAGAGATCGGTGACTATAATATAAGAGATTGTTTGGACGAGATCAGGAATTTCGTAATAAAAGGTGAGCTAAGTTCGGAAAAAGACGGTTATGTTCGGAAAGAGAGAGTATGGTCGGAAATACGGTTGAGTTCGGAAAATTAAAGATGAAGATCAGAAAATGAAGAAATCTGATCAGGAAGCAGCGGCGCTCTGATCGGTTGATTCTTATTAATTCCGGCGGAAAAGTACAATATTTAGAGATTAATCCCCTTTACATAATGTTTACTATTGCTTTTATATAGTATGAAAGATTATGGCAGTTCCCAAAAATACACGAACCCGCACTTCCTTCTTCTTTAGGCGGTGGAGAAGTCTCGAGAACATGGGCCGTGGGCCTGATGGGCTGGTCGGATTTCCTAACGAACCTAATCAACATAATGGACTCTGATCGGATCTGGGCCGGCTCAATAAAAGGGGTGACAGGCCCACCATTAACAAAGATCAGCTTTTGTTGCTAGAACAATGTGAAACAACAGGAGAGATCGAGATTTGGGTGACAAAGAAGAAAATTACTAATGGGGACCAAGTGGAGTGGATTAAGTTCATGAGTGTCTCAATACCTAACTTACCCAACTTATGCAAGGGCAAAGATTCAAGGTACTTGGTGGATGATACTATCTATGGAAAGAGCTTCATCACGTGTTGTAGAGACAAAACTAAAAAGGCTCGTGTCTATATTGTGAGGGGAGATATGTGCAGAAAAATTAGATTAGACGATGTTGTTGGTGACGTACTACGATGCTTTGTTTATACTCCCAGTTTGATGTTTCCTAGTCCTTGAGAGACTTTAGATCAAGAGTACAAGAAGAATTCAAGTCTCTAAATCTTATTTATATACATTGTAGTTTTCTTTGTTTTTGGTTTTTAACTAGCAAATCTCCAACTATAGGTCATATAGGTCAAACAAAACCAAACGTCATGTGTGGTACTCAGATTATGTTTCTTGTTCTGAACCACATACAATTTTAAAAATCTTATTATTGCATTGTAAGTTTTCTTTTTTTTTTTTGGTTTTTTACTAGCAAATAACTCTTACAATTTTTAAAATCTTATCTTTATATTATTAATTGAGAAGTACATTCTAATGTTTGGATACAAGAATTAGAGAAACATCTATTTGGATAGAAGAATAAATGGAAACAAAAGTTGTTTGGATATAAGAATAAGAGAAAAATCTATTTGGATAGAAGAATAAATGGAAAAAATTGTTTGGATACAAGAATAATAACTTAAAATAAACCGATGGTTTAGAAAACTTCCGTTTTCATCTCTTAAAAATCTGCAAAAGAAAACTTAACATAATCTAACGATAATTCCAAATCAATAGAATATGCTTTTTGGATTTTCGGGTTTTTATAGACAAGTTCGGGTTTGGGTGAAAATCTGAGACATAATTTTATAGAGATATATATAGAGATATAGAAATTGTTCGGGTTTCTTTGAAAATTTCTGTTCGGGTTAGGTTCAATTTTTTTTTTCAGTTTAGGGTTTTCCGGATTTTTTAGATTTCTGGTTTTCGGGTTTAGATATATTAAAAAAATTGAGTATTTTAAAATTTTGATTAGGTATTGGGGTCGGGTTCCGGGTGAAAAAGTTTCCAGATTTTTTTGTTCAGTCAGGGTTTTCGGGATTTTTTTATTTCGGATTTTCATGTTTAGACCTATTAAAAAAGTTTGGGTTTTTAAATTTTTTGATTAGGGTTTTTTGTCGGGTTCGGATTTAGGGTTTAAATTTTCTACACAAAACAACAACGTCACACCGCACAAACGTGCGGGTACTCTACTAGTATGTATTTAGATAGATTACTTTTATGATTTGTTTACTAGATAAAAAAAGGCTAACGTCAGCAAACTTTAGAATTTGGTTTGCTACTTTTGCGTACATATAAATAAATTTTCTACTACTACAATGAGAACGGAAAACAGAAAGAAAAAGAAATAAAAACCCTAATGGTGTCGAGAAAGCTACCTTCAGAGTTAGAGGAAGAGATACTCACTAGGGTTCCACTTCCATCTATCTCTCGCTTCAGAGCCGTTTGCAAACAATGGAACGCTCTTTTCAACGATCAGATATTCGCTAACAACCACTTAGCATGCGCTCGCTCACGCTCAGAAGAATTCATGTTAATGACCGATTCCAAGCTTTACTCGGTAAGCTTCAATCTCAATGACAAAGATCCAAACATAAAAGTTCGTAAGTTGCCCTCGTTTGATATTTCTGGTTTAGTCCGGGCTAAATGCGATGGGATCTTCTCCACAGATAAAAATGTTACAACAACTGCGGTTTGGAACCCGTGGTTGAAACAGACTAGGTTGATTGAAATCAAATCTGAATTATTCCATATAACTATATAAGTGGCATGGGATACGACAATAGTAGACCAGAAAAGAGTTACAAGCTTGTTGGTTATACTTATTGTTGGCATAGTGCCGATCAATACTACTACACGAGATATGCTATTTATGAATTTGCAACCAATGCGTGGAGGTTTATTGATGGTCCCGATTTGATAGAAAAGAAAAGTCCACAAAAGTAAGATATTCACGGGATAATAGTGTGTCCTTGAATGGAAATTTGTATTGGGCTGTTTGTAGTCTTGAAACTCATCAGTGTTTCATTCGAATCCTAGATTGTTTGAAAGATATGTTTAAGTTCTTTTGTACTCTACCGTGTAAGAAGAAAGATCATTCTTGTGATCTTCCTGCCCTCGCAGTTTTCAAGGGAGATCGGTTTTCGTTGCTAGACCAATGCATAATAACAAGAAAATTGAGATTTGGTTAACCAAGAAGAAAATAGCTAATGGAGACGATGTGGAGTGGATTAAGTTATTGAGTGTCCCAATACCTAACTTACCCATGTTATCCCAAGATTACAATTCAAGGTACTTTATTGATGATAATATCTATGGAAAGATCTTTGTCACGTGTTGTAACGACGAAACTGAACAGCAATGTGTGTATATTGTGAGGGGAGGTATCTGCAGAAAGATTATATTAGATGATGTGATTGGTGAGGTACGACACTGCTCTCTTTATGTTCCCAGTTTGATGTTTCCCAGTCCTTAAGAGACTTTAGATGAAGAGAACAAGAACAATTCAAGTCTCTAAATCTTATTTATATACATTGTAGTTTTCTTTGTTTTTGGTTTTTAACTAGCAAATCTCCAACTCTTAAGTCATATTAGATCAAACAAAACCAAACGTCGTGGGTGGTACTCAAGTTATGTTTATTGTTATGAACAACATACAATTTAAAAAAAAAATATTATTGCATTGTACTAGTTTTCTTGTTTTTAGTTTTTTACTAGAAAATCTCCAACTCTTACAATTTTAAAAATCATATATAGATAGATAGATAGATTAAAGTATCAAACTAAACCAAACTTCTTGTATGTTCTTGTCACGTTTTGGTCAGGCTCCTCTAATCAATATTTGAGGGAGCTTTTGATTTTACGTACATTGTAGTTTTTTTTATATATATATTATCAGTCACATTTATTTACTCGATTCTCATTTGTTTTGAAAGGATAAAACTTTCATAATTTGCACACCAAAGATTCAACATTCAGTACAGCCACTATGTGTTTGGCTTAAGTTGGTTAGTAGAGTTTTGGTTCCAATCTACACCAAACTGAACCGAAGATCCTCTAATTTTGTTTTTACGATATGTTTGTTTAAAAGTGCTATGGCAAGTACTTGTCGGCCACATTGAGTCTTACATAACGTAAGGGGCGATGGTTTTGTTTTCCTCAGTTTGCTCGTACGCTTGATCGCGGTCAGATATTCCAGTTTTTGTCTCACAGTGAAAACATTTCAACGACATAAAGTAACTAGTGAGCATTTGCAGTCAATTTGGTAGCATAGTTTGATCATATTCATATTCATTCATTAAAAATCTTGATTTCTTGATTCTATGTGACTTGTATTGCAAGAAATTATGAATTGCAGATTTTACTTGCGTATATTATATAACTTCCTGTATCAGTGTAAAAATATACACATACACTGATATCTTTACATGTAAAATCTTGATTTCTTGTTACCAGGTGGGTCAATTGATCCATGTCAAATTTAGAAAAAAAAAATTACATGTATATTTAGTTGGAAAAAAAAATTACATGTATATTGTGGAAATAAAAAATGAAGGTGAGTTTCTTACATTAAATTATACTAATAAAATTATAACACTCTCTTTTTTCTATATTTTTTTAATATTTTAATGTGAGAGATTACCATTGGATGTACTCTTGGGATCTTATGTTGGCCATGCATTATTTCAATAGAGTTTCATTTATTTAAAATGTTAAATTTAATAAATGACGTTTTAGAAATTATATTTTGCTTGAAAATAAGTTGATATTCTCACAATTAATCAATGCAAACATGAATTATGTTTCTATTGTTTTGACTGTTTAATTAAGATTTTGATTTAATTTACATTCATCTGGATGGGAGAGCTGGTGAAGTAGATGTTGTTAGAGTGGTAAAGAAGTTTGTGGTGGTGGTGAAGAACACAAGGAGAGCCGAGAAGACGATCCACATTATCAATATAAAGTAATGTTTATTTGTTTGTTTAGTTTAGAATATTACCATCAACAAATTAAAAGATTAAATAAATGTCGCAATGAAAAGAGTACGGCGATTATCTTGATCGACTTTTAGGGTCTTCTTGGGTCGTCGTCTTGTCGGCAAGTAAAGAGTAGCGCCATAGACGTGTCACGTATGACCAAAAGTTGATATTAAATTATTGTGCAGGTAGGAGTTAGCAATGTTAAATACAGTTGTAACACGTTCATGCATGCATGAAGCTTCTCGCGTGTTTCATTTCCCTTTAAGTGTTTAGTTCATCTATTTTACAAATTCGATTAGCACCAAATCCAGTATAATTTCAGCAGCTTTTGTATGGGAGAGAGAGAGATTCAATCGCTATATTATATGATCTGACTAGGATCTCCAGACACATTCTATATTGATTGATTGTTTCATTTTGAAAAAAAAAATGAAAAAACTGAGAGATTTAATTTGTGTGCGAAAACCTGAAATATCACCTATTAAAAGAAAACGGAAAGAGTATATTGAATTCGTTTTCAATTAGTAATAGAGGAAACTGTAAGTGGCCAAAAGAAGGTCCTTCTAGCGTGTCCCACGTACCAAGGTCAGTAGGCCAGTCTATACTTGACTATTGCATAATTGCATTTGCGCTTACTTTGATTATTTCTCCCGGGAGGACATGCCTAATGACTTAAATGTTCGTCTTTAAAGTATATGAATGAGTCGTGTATACGTGTGTTTACATTTTAATTTTTTGCTAAAGAGTCGTATACTGGTGTGTTTTATGTTTATTACTTGATTTTCCTACTTAATTATGGAAAGTAATTAAGACTTCATTTACTTCGGTTCTATCTAGTCAACTTCCACCAATGTAAGGATGAAAGATAAATGGAATTTTGATTATGGGGATGTAGTAACTTATGCTAATCAGATTTCAGGGAGACATAGAATAGTAGTAACTGTGGTATTTCTGAATTAAGGTCAATCATTCATGAACCTCTCCGTACGTTCACCACTGACCAGCATTATTAATTAACTTTTGTCTGTTGTATATTTGATAGTCGTCGACGACCCAAGAAAACCCTACAAAGAAAGATATCAACAGCAATTTTTGTCCTATATTATATGTGTAGTATTGAATCCCTTGTTGACGATAACATTCTGATTAACCAAACAGATACACACACTAAGAATCACTATATATATTTTATATTGATATGTCGATAGTCTTTTCAAGTTTTCTATTGTTTTTCACCATCATCACAAGCTTCCTCACAGTTCCAAGAACATGGGCCGATGCGAAAGCTCTTCATGCAGATGAATGTATGAGAAGAGATTACCATTTCCTAAAAAAACTTATAAAATTAAAGGTAATTTGTATATGCTTTTAAATATAATCAGTATATAATTTTTGTCTTTTGGTCAAGAATTATGCAGTAAAAGCGCTTGGTGAGATAGCTAATACACTTGGTATCAAGAATTTGAACCTACGCTATGGAGACCCTTGCCAATTAGAAAGTCTAAAGATTGATGATGATCAGAATCCGGATAGTACGAACAGCATTACTTGTGATTGTAGCTTCAACAACAAACGCACATGCCATATTACAGAATTGTGAGTCTTGTTCCTTGACCTTCTCTTACTTTCTAATTGTTTGTTTTTCTTCCTAAAACCAAATATTCTTGTTCATTAAAATAATCCAAATATTTTTGCGGTTATCAGGAAACTCAAGACCCTCAGTCTTCCGGGAAAACTTCCACCTGAGTTGGTCAAACTTCGGTATCTGCAAACGATGTGAGTTCCTGAAATTTAGTGGGCCCAGAAACAATTTAACAAGGTTATGAAAAAAATATGGGGCCAAACATCATTTTTTTTTTAATTATTTGGGGCCAAAATTAATATAAAAAAAACTTTTCAAAAGTATGGGACAAAAGACAAATGTTTCCTGAGGCTTAAAAGTTAAAAAGTTGAATATAAATTAATTAAGATAATAGAAAGCTAATGAAACAAGATTAGAGTTAGAGTTTTTGTTTTTCTAAACAAATAGAAATGAGTTTTATATGTAAATTTAATTGTAGTGAAAAACAAGAATATGTTTACAAATTTTAACCTTCAGTCAAATGCATATACATATTTATAAATTTTAACCTTCAATCAAATACATATACATGTTTACAGTCTAATAGAAGTAAAAAAAAAAGTAAACAAACATAATATTTATAACATGATAAATTTTAGAAATAGAAAACTCGAGATAAAGCGGGGTGTTAATATCCTAATAAATTAAAATAAAAAACAAATTATTCATATTTTTTAGTGTTAGTGGTTGAGTTAACTCAAAACATAACAAAAACATGAAAGTTAATACAAAACCATCATAATTCAAATCAACGAGTATAAATAAAATTAAACAGAAAAACTATCAAACAACCCCGCGCTTGCGCGGGGCTTCAAACCTAGTAGTCAAAATGGCAAAATGCCATACAAATCATTTTCCCCTAAATTTATATATATATATATATAATTTTAATTCCAACTCGACCGGTTTATTGTTAATGTTATCAAACTTATATTGAAACTTGAATGTATTACACTCTCTTGTTATAAAAGAGACAAAAACTCGATCTACTACTTGTACAAATGAAACTATGCGTTGTGTAATAAGTAAAAGTCATGACTCTTAATCATGAAACTACTTGTACAAATGAAACTGTGTGGCTGCCAGAGTTATCAAAAAAAAAAAAGTCATGACTCTTAATCTTAAAAAACAACTCTAAAACAAAAAAAAATTTGTGTCTTTTGATCAAGTAACTGACTAATGTAAATGTGACATTATGTTATACGAGATGTATGATTATACTACAACATTTATTATGGTTTGGTATTTTCCTCTTGAGTAGCTGCATAGACTTTTTGCAAGACATCCTGAAAATTGAGAAATCAACAAAACCTTTAGCGAGAGAATGCCCAAAGAGAGCGATGTGAAAAGTTTCATGCGGTTTTTGCTGTTATTTGCAGAGACTTTTGTCGAAATGACCTTTCCGGAACAATCCCAGTGGAGTGGGCTTCATTGCCATACTTCACTTCCATGTGAGCTATCTTTATCTCTCTCTCTCTCTCGCTCTGTTTGTTTTTGCTTCTTTTGCAGCTGCAAAATTTCCATTTTAATGATTTGCGAGAAACTTCGAACTTTCTCGCAGATCTGTCTGCGCGAATCGTTTGTCTGGTCCTTTACCAGCTTGGTTGCAACAGTTCAAGAATCTGACATTCTTGTACGTCTCTAGCTAATTGTTTCTTCACCTGTAGTTACATACCGGATATGCCTTTTAATGTGATGAAATTTTCAGAGGGGTTGAAGCAAACCAGTTCTCTGGTCCGATTCCTGATGAGCTTGGTAACTTGACCAGCCTAACAAAATTGTAAGACAATCTTTGGCTTTGCAAGCATCTTGCATCTGAGTCTTTGGTCTTATGGAAAAATGTAGAGTACATGTTTGATCTTACGTGTTTGATCTTTTATGAAACTGGGTTTTGCAGGCATCTTGCATCCAATCAGTTTAATGGAAGCTTGCCTGCCACTCTCGCTAGACTGGTGAGCCTTAAGGATTTGTAAGTACAAAATGCTCACCTCAAAGTTTTAAACCTATAAAGTCGTCCAAGATCCAAGAAGCAGGGTCGTGCCAACAATAATTGCTACCATAAACGATGAAAAGTCATAAAATTATGGAAGAAAAATAAAACTGTTTACAATTATATATGTAGAAAAGAGCCATAAATCAGCAATATTGTTTTTGTTATCTGATATAATGGATTGAAATTAAGTATTGTTCCATTTTTTTTTTGCTTTTTTGCTTCTTAAAGAAGATGCCCTTAAATTTTTTCCAAATTTCTTTGTGTCCCATAAGCGAATGCTTTTTCTTTGTTCTAACGTATAGGCGTGGGCCTTGCAAGAAGATAAGTTTTACAAACCTCTAAACTAGTTTGTTTGTTTTCATTATCCAGTAGGGTAAGTGACAATAACTTCAGTGGTACCATCCCAGCATATATTGGCAATTGGTCTGGGCTTCAAAGGCTGTAAGCTTGTCCTTGATTGCTAATCTTGATTTCTCTTATAGTTCGTGTTTCTAAATTGTGTTGGTTATGACAAACAGACACATTCAAGCAAGTGGACTGAAAGGGCCTATTCCGGATGCAGTGACCCGCCTAGAAAATCTTGCTGAACTGTAATGAATTACTTTTATTAGATTAGCAAGTACAGAGAAATTTTAAATAAGATTCATGTTTTTTTTTGTAAAAGAAATAAGACTCATGTTTCAAGCGAATATATATTCATATATGCAGGAGAATTAGTGATACGACCGGGATAAACTCCTTTCCGATCCTAACCAGCAAAGCAATTGGCACCCTGTATTTATTTTCCACCTCTCCTTTTATTTTTTGATGCTTGAAATTTTATTAAAATCTGCCAAGCTTAAGCCTCTGTCCCTGTTCCAGGACTTTGAGGAATGTGAATTTGTCTGGTCCAATTCCTCCGTACATATGGACTTTGACACAGCTCAAAACTCTGTAAGTTTCTTTCTCATCACAAGTGAAAAAATAATCTGTAAGTTTGAATATTTTGTTACTTGTTGTTTGCTGCAGTGATTTATCTTTTAACACGTTGAGTGGTGAAGTTCAAGCACTAGAAAAAGCACCCGCATATACGTAAGTACTAGTGTACTACAATTAGACATCTAGTTTAAAGACTTTTAATGTCAATACCATAGAATCACGCTCGAATAATTGTTCTTTCAGCTATTTGACTGGCAACATGCTTTCTGGAAACTTTGGATCTGGTCTTTCCATCGACGAAAAAACTAATATGTACATATCAAAACTTCACTTGTTTGTATGGCTCGAGAAAGTTTCCATCATCATGTCAGCTAATCATTTTCTTGGTTTTTAATCCTTAAGTGATCTCTCTTATAACAATTTCTCATGGGCATCAACCTGCAAGGACAAGAGGTATGAACATGAAATCTTGGTAGATATGATATATCTTTGAGAAATCTATTTTTTTTTTAATGAGAAATACCCAAAAATGGATCTAAAAAAATTTAGATGACCAAAATTTATGGACCTAAATTTTTTTTTGCCATAAGAAAATTATAATGCCATTTTGGTCATAGATTTTTTGGTTCATTTTGGTCAATTCCTCTTTTTTTTTATCGCCTACTTATGCTAAGTTTTTTTGTTCTCGTTGTCTGTTTGAATCAGTAACATTAACACATACCGGAGCTCATATTTGAAGAACAATTTGTAAGTACACTCTTTCTACTTTATCCTGCAATAATTTAAAAACAAGAATGGATTTAACTTAGTAATATCTTTCTATCAAATACGGAAATAGAAATTGTTTGAAATTGTGTCGACGAGATCCCTAATTACTATCATCTTCTTGTCCTTAAAGAACTGGACTTCTACCGTGCGCTGGTCTAACAAAATGCAAGAGATGTAAGTACTTATTGAGCCGTTTTAACATAATTTTTTTTCCTCAGACATCTCTATTTGACGGTGATAATCGTTATTGATTGCAGATCAACGCTCACTACATATAAATTGTGGTGGAGAAAGTGTAACTATTACAAACGCTTTGGGTAAAATCACTTATCAAGCTGATAAAAGTGAAACCAAAGCCGCGACGAATCAACACTTTGAAAACTGGGGAATCAGTAACACAGGTGTTTCGTCGAATGACATATACACCATTTCAACTAGTTTAACATTACCTGGAGGTTCTCCTGATATTTATAAGACTGCACGTCGATCTGCTATCTCTCTTGTTTACTATGCATTTTGCTTGAAAAATGGAGGCTACAATGTGAGACTTCATTTTATGGAGATCCAGTTTTCAGACGAAGAACCATACAGTCGTCTCGGCAGGCGCATATTTGACGTCTATGTTCAGGTAAAGTGTCATGTTTACTGAATACACTCACTGTGTTTTACAAAGAGTGTGGTTCTACTCAGGCCCGGCCCATTAGATTGAGAGACCTAGTGCAAAAATTTCGATTTTACAAGAAATATCAATATAATTTTACAAATAGGGCCCTAATATTTTCAAAAATATCTAAAATTGTACCAAACTTTTTCACATAAAAAAATGGACCTTGTGCATTTGCACCCTTGGCACATGCAGGCCCGGTCCTAGGCATGGGCTGACAGTGCATTTGCACTTGTTCCACATTTTTTTTACAAAAATTCTTTTAAATTTTAGGGTCCTAAATTCTCAAAATATTGTAGAAAAGGTCCACAATTCTGAAATGCTCATACATTGATCAATTATTTTCTAATTTTGCATAGGGTCTATTCAATTCTTGGGCCGGGCCTGGGCACATGCCAAGGGCCAGGCCTGGTTCTACTCTTTGTAAAACATATTAAGAATTTTAAAAACTCTTTCTAATTAATACACTGAGAAATACATTAAAATATACTCTTTCTGATTGATACATTCATATAACAAGGTTAAAACTGGATTTTATTTAATAAAATTACATTGGAAATACTAAGTTACACTTTTTGTAAAATAAAATAAAATGACAATCTTTGTGAAACGGAGGCAGTAGTCTTCATTAATCAAGTGTGGCAGATGAAGTTCATCTACATTAGTTTATTTTTCCCATGTTAGGGAGAATTGTTCTTGAGGGATTTTAACATCAAAGAGGAGGCTAATGGGACTCTAAAGCCTGTTGTGAAAGAAGCGGTTGCGAATGTTACCGACAATGTGTTAGAGATTCGATTGTATTGGGCAGGGAAAGGGACAATCCTCATTCCTGCGAGAGGAAGTTATGGTCCTCTTATCTCTGCAATCTCCTTGTGTCACACCAGTAAGCACCACAAACTGTTTGAAACTCTTCATGACGCTGGTTCCTGCCATCTAACGATAATATTTATCTTTCAAAATTTCAGGCCAAGGGCCACAATGTGGAGGTCCAAAGACAAAAAAAACTATGTAGCTTGACTTATGATGTAAATGTGTATATATATTTACACACTAATTTTTTTTTTCGTTTGCAGTGGAGAAACCAAAACGTCACACTAAGTACGCATTAATTTTTGGTGTTACGGGTGCCTTTGTAGCAATTACTCTCTTGGCTTTGGGATTATATGCTCAGAGAAAACGCATACGACACAAGAACACGACAGAAAGAGGTATTAGGGTTCACACAGAGTATATGAATCCATTCCTTATAGCATTGTTAATTATTTTCTTTGATCACAATAGATCTGAGAGCCCAGGGTCTGCAAACAGTTTGCTTTACTTGGAGGCAACTGCAAACTGCAACGAACAATTTTGATCAAGCTAACAAGCTTGGAGAAGGAGGTTTTGGCTCCGTGTTCAAAGTATGCTTAAAATACAGATGCAACTTTCTTCTTAAAACAAATGCTATTTTTATTTTTTGGATTTTGAAATGAGGAAGTTAACACAGGGAGAGCTTTCGGATGGAACTATCATAGCAGTGAAGCAGCTTTCTTCCAGGTCGTGTCAAGGAAACCGAGAATTTGTGAATGAGATAGGAATGATCTCAGGTCTTAATCATCCAAATCTTGTCAAACTTTATGGATGTTGCGTCGAGAAGAATCAATTGCTGCTTGTCTATGAGTACATGGAAAATAACTCCCTTGCTCTTGCCCTGTATGGTAAAAAACAGTCATTTCAGTTTTTCTTTATGTGTTGAGTCCATTCGTTTAGAAGAATATATATGAGAAATACACTAAAATGGACCCAAAAAAATTTGGATGACGAAAATGGCATTCTAAAAATTTTATGACCAAATACCGGTTTAGATTTTTGGATTTACCGTGTAGATTTTGGGGATTATGATTTACATTTTGGGTTGATGGTTTACAGTTTTGAGTGTAGGGTTTATGGTTTAAACTTTTGGGTGTTGAAAAAAAAAAATTGAATTATTTTCATGTTGAATTTTAGTCTATTTTGATCATAAATTTTTTATAAAGTCATTTTAGTCATACCAAAAATTCTTTTGATCCATTTTGGTCATTGTCCCTATATATTACCGCCGCATGGGATATCATTTCTCTTTGGGTTACAATTTTAATTCCAGGAAATGGCTCCCGGAAACTGGACTGGGAAACGAGACACAAAATATGTGTTGGAATCGCAAGAGGGCTTGTATTCCTTCACGAAGGATCGATAATCAGAATGGTTCACCGTGACATAAAAACCACAAATGTGCTTCTAGACGCCGACCTAAATGCAAAGATATCTGACTTTGGATTGGCTAGGCTCCATGAAGCAGAACACACTCACATTAGCACAAAAATCGCAGGAACCATGTAAGTATATATGGACACATAAAACGAACCATGGCCAAAGAAATGTCTCATCCTTGGTTTATCTGAATGCCTCAGCGGATATATGGCTCCCGAATATGCATTATGGGGTCATTTGACTGAGAAAGCAGACGTGTACAGCTTCGGTGTTGTGGCTATGGAAATTGTTAGTGGGAAGAGTAATATTAAACCCAAGCAAAATGGTGATCAAGTCTCGCTTATCAATTGGGTAATCATGGAGCTTTTTTTTCTCTAACAATTTTTTCTGTTTCTAAAAAAAAAACAAAAAAATGTTTCTACAAAGTTTAATGAAACCCCTTAATGAATCTCAGGCGCTGACGCTGCAACAAACAGGGGACATATTGGAGATCATAGATCCAAAGCTAGAAGGTGATTTCAACAGAGAAGAAGCAGTAAGGATGATCAAAGTTGCTCTCCTTTGCACACATTCATCTCCTTCCTTAAGGCCAACAATGTCAGAGGCTTTGCAAATGCTCAAGGGAGAGATGGAACTAACAGAGGTTGTGTCAGATCCTGGTCTATATGGACACAACTGGAATATCTCAAAGCTGAGGGAGATTGATACACATGGAAGCTCGAGCACGTCTGGTGTTACAGATCAAACGGTAGCAACGGCAATGAAGTCCTCTGTTTCTGGCTCTGATCTCTACCCACTATACCCAGAATCCGTTATCCTAAACTCCCCGCCAGAGTTTCCTTCATCGTCACGGTAATATCAAAACATGTGCACATTGCCTTGTCTTATAGTTAGCTACATAGTCATATCATTAAACGTAAGAGCACGTGCTCTCAATTTACCTAGATCTAAAAACACTATCAGACTCAGTATCTCTATAAATGTTTGTCAAACTCGAATTATATCATATTTTTTTTTTAATGAAAATATCTATGCTCGCTGAATCCATATCTCTTTCTTATAACTTTTCCAAAATCATTTACATTGTTTTCTCGATGGGTTCACTGATAGAGGTAAGCTGTGAATCTGTGATCCTCTTAGTAACTAATAGAACTCAGAATCAGTGTTCTTGAACACTGACTCTGCACTCACCTGGAAAGAACCTACGATTGGAGATGCTTTGCAGCGTCGTAATTTCGATGATATTAGATTCTGTCTTCTGATCATCAACGCATACATAAGACACGGTTCAATGCATAGAGATGTAAGAAAGTTTCATCTACAATTCTGTATCTACCCTAATCTGTGGAAGACTAGCTTGTTCCAGAAGTAAGAAAGTTGAAACAAATAACACAAACACAAGGAAGCATATATTGTATCACAGACTCACATATAGAGATGACAACGGAGAGAATATTGGTTTAGCTATTTTCTCAATAGCAGCTCGTAATGGGGAAATAAACATATCACAAACACAACACAGAAAATGGATCCTTAAAACATGAAAAGATGAAAATGAGAGGAATTTGAGGCATTACAAAGGAAGTTGAAGTTGTAGGACTTAGTTTCAGACAAGGGAGACAGAACCAATCTTAAACTCACTGTGTTTTTTAAGCAGCTTTAAGAGATCATGTTCAAGGTATGTAAGATAGATGTCTTGACGTTGTTCTTCTTCTGTTGCTGCCTCACGATCATCCTGTACCACAAGGGGTACACAAGATTAAAATGAAAAAACAAAAAATAGTTTTCGGTAACTACAAAGATGATAGATTAATTTTTGTTTTACCGTGGACATTATGCACTCCATATGAAACACGTCGTTGCAGTGATTACACGTGTACATCCAATCGCGGCTGTCTCCACCACAGAGAGAACAGCTTCCTTTATGATTCACATAGGTGTTGGAGACAGAATGCTGATGCTGTTGGTTCTTCACATTATCTGGAAAACCAAGACACTCCACATGTGCGTAGAAGCTGCAACCAATACAGCCGTAGAAAGACGCCCCACATGGTCTAGTACATACACCACATGCTCGAGTTAGCTGCGAGTCATCGATCCAAAAGTTGTAGAGATTGTGTCGGTGAGACTTGACCTTACTTGATACACACGCCTCTTGGATGCATTTTAGATGGAATTTTACTTTGCAATCAGAACAAGTATAGCCAATGTTTGTAATGATCAGTTTGCATGCAGTGCATGTGGATCCACTTATCTCTAACATTTGAAGCATGTGATCATAATGAAGTGGATGGCCGAATATTTTTCTTCTCCAAGCTTCAATACACCAAGGATGATATATCTCTTGACACTCCATACATGCCATAGCTTTTCCATACAATTCCTCATCACAAATAACACAATGGAGACTTTCTGCCCTCGAGATAATAGCTTCAACCACACCGTGGCTGTGGTGGTCGTAGCGTATGCAGTTTACGCTTAAGGCTCCGAAGACTTTCGGTTTCAATACCCAAGAACTATCTTTACCTTTCAAAGCACATCTAATGTCAATCATAAAATTGCATATGCGACAAAAGAGATTGAATCCATCGATCTTCCTCAAGCATTTGTCACACTTCTTCAAAGGGTCTAACGCATGCATAGGGGGCATTGTTAGGAGTGTCAAAGGGTGATTCATGTGGAGCCGATGTGTTGATGGTTTTCCAAGCTCTGCACAAAGCTTATGTGCCCAGAAGGTGCATGTCTCGCATTTAAATGGACTACCAAGTATACTTTCTTGACATAATTTGCAATATGTGTGGTTAGGAAGCTCACTTATCTCGACAGATTTCATTACATGAGTATGCTTGTAATCATTAACCTGAAACATGTACCAAAATTAAAATTAAAAAAGGGTAAGGGAGGGTTTTTGCGTTAAACTGAGGACAGCGTAAAATACTTTCATTCACTGATTACCATAAGTTTATTATCTAAGTTTCTGGACTCACAGTCTTCTTGATTTCTTATTGCTCTCGTGGTGATGTCTTCACCACAAGAAAACAAATCTTTTAAATACAATGGAGAAGGTTGTTCCTGTTGTTAATGAGTAAGAGTAGTTTAGCCTTGTTGTGGTCAGTATCTCATCATTAAGAGAAACAACATCAAAAATAAAGGATTGAAAATATACATGCATATTTATTACCTCACGTAGAATGCATCCAATGTGGCCAAGAAAATCACATTCTTCACATGAATATACATGATGTTTAGAGTGTACCATCGTCTCGCAAACGCCACAATACTCTAGACAATCCTCAGCTAAAAAGACTTTACACACTAGGGGATGAATGTGGTAAGATTTCTTAACCACACACTGTGGTATTTCAAGACACTCGAAATGAAACTGCAAATCACATTCCACGCATTTATAATAGGAATATAGGGAGATGCTATCAGTTCGCATGCATATTTGACATGGACTTCCTTTAAAGAAGGTCCTTGTAGCATTGTTATTGACGTAAAACAATCTATGCTTATGAGATTCTTGCAAAAGACCTCACAATAAGGAATCCGCACACCTCAAGTGAAGGTCAAAACCACATTCTACGCAACTCAATGGGGGACCATATATCCTCAAACCGCATGCATCACATGTTCTTCTATCACAGTTGTGTGTGTAATCAAGGCGTCTAAGAGGATGTGCCGGATGCATGGGATGTTGAATCTCTCTCGGAAGATCCAAACAACGTTCGTGAACAAACAAGCAACAATAAACACAACCATAACATATGACAGAGGGAGAAACGGGAAGCTCACAGAGAAGGCAAAGGCTGTGAGCTTTTGTTCCAGGTCTACTCCTTCTAAGCAAGTGACAATGGCTGTAGTGGAGCATTTCTTTGGCATCCCAACTCGTGAAAATGTTCTTCAAAAGCGCACAGCCCAAATCGAGGTAGATCTCACACTCTTTACACTCGTACAAGGAACCAGTAAACATGTTACCACACCCAGCACAGATGACGTTTAATGGTTTCCGATCAAATTGGCGTAGACAAAGCTCCAGAGGGTGATCCGGGTGGAAATGGTGGGACACCTTCTGGGGAAGCATGGAGCAAGCTTTACAAAGATCGAAATGGCAAGGTTTACATGCGAGTTCTACAGGTTGGTCTTCGTAGCAAATGTTGCAGACGCCGTATGTGACGATCTCCGGCGAGGTCAACGCACATTCATGGGAGAAATGCTTCATCGGGATGGGATGAGATGAGAGCAAAAAAGTCAACAAAGATTAGATCTTAAAGAAAATGTTAATAAATATAAATACAACTATAGTACTATGCTATGACTTTTAAATAGAAGTCAGTCACAGGCTTTTGAAAAGCTCACCTCATTTTCTTATTACGGGCCTTGAGAAATATGAGCTTTGTTGTCATGTTGGTTTTTTCTGTTTTTGAAGTTAGATTTTAGATTTGGTTCATCACCGCGAGTTGTTAAAAAAAAAAAAAACAAATATACTACAGAAAAGCAACTAGAGATTTTAGTTGACAATTTTATTTTTGAGATTTAGATAGGGAAATTCTCAAATATATTACAGAATAACTTTTGGTTCTAAAATTATTCTATTAATATTTTTTTTTTCAAAATATTACAATTTTTTCCCCAAAATTACTATGAATTAAAATTAGGGAGAATTGGCAATTTACCCCAAATTGAAACTTCTTTTGTCCCACTACACCTTCCCGTTTCCTCTTTGTCCCAATACTCTTTTTTTTTGACATTTTTCTCAGTTTTGCCCTTCATTTTAGTTTTGTTTCCATTTTCGTTTTTTAAATTAAAATATATTAAATAAAAATAAAATTAACAAAACTAAACTAATTAAAAAATAAACCGAAAAAAAACAAAACTTATTCTCTCCTTCTCTCCTTCTCTCGCGACGGCGCCGGAGGCGATCGATAACCTAATCTCAATCGATTTCGTCATGATGAGAGGAAGGAAGAACGTGATGTTTTGGATAGTTGGAGGAAAAAAAGGAAAGAAAGATTTGAAAAATATTCAGTTGCAATATTTTCTCGATCTTCGCAGAAGATGAATTCTACAAAACCGTAGACGACACTAGTTTTGCTAGATTGTGTACTAGAAACACGAGTACTACGGATCGTAGAAAACATGGTTTTAGTAGAACACTACTTCTGCGGGATGTAGAGTAGACAAAAACACGTAGAATACGAAAACTATTTCTTGTAGATAGCAGTGTTTCACGTAGAACGTAAAATCTACGAGTAGTAGAAGATACTTGATTGAGTAGAATACATTTGGTGCGAATTCTACAAAATGGTAGAGCCTATAAGAGTAGGTAGATATCAACTTCTACATCCGGAAGAGGTATGAATAAGTTGTAGATATTATGTTCTACGGAGGTTAGACCTCTGAATATCTTGCAGAAAACGAATTCTACTTTGTTATTTTAGTTTTGTAGAATGAAACTTGAAATATTTTTTTAAATATCATAAGCATTTTCAAAAATGTTCAAAAATTTTACACAGTGCTAAAATGATTTTTAGGAATTATGGCATTTTTTTTCACTCCAAAATACATTTAGTATGAGTTTATAAATAAATTGAAGGGCAAACTTGACCAAAAAAGACCAAAGTCAAAAAAGGTGTAGTGGGACAAAAGAAGTTTCAATTTGGGGTAAATTGTCAATTCGCCCTTAAAAGTTAGATTCTCAAACTAAGCTATATACATACAATCTTATGATTGACATTAACCCCAAAATAAATCTTAAAACCTTAAACCCAAACTACTAAATCCAAATCCAAATATGTATCTCTAAATATTTAAAAGTATCATTTCAGTGTTTGTGGTATTTTAAAATATTTTTGATGTAGAGATTCATACAATCACGCCACCACTTCTCCTATCCTTTTCTTTCGTAACTTTGTAAAACCCTAATGAATGTTTTGAGTTCTCTGCCTATATGGTCGACATTACTACTTTGTAAACCATAGTTACACAACAATGAAACCCTGATTACTAATGACAAAAAGTGGTAGATATTACCAAGTTACTAGGGGAATTGCCAAATCTAGACCATAATTTCATTTTTTTTAGTCAACTAGACCATAATTTGAATCAAATGCAAAACTAACCTCTATGGGTAATAAAATTACTCCACACTCCCTATGACTAAACAAAAAACGTATGCCTCAATTACGATTATAACCTCCGGAGCATATAGATCTACCCCGAAGATCTACCTGGTAGACAATGTTGAAGGTCTACTTTGTAATAACATCTTAAATTTTAATTAACAATTCAATAAAAAATATTTTTATACAAAAACAAGTACGAATAATTCTGATATAGACATTATCATCTACCAAAAATATAAATGCATACAAATGAATCATTTATAGATAAGCAAAGACATATAGGTTAAAATCTAAAAAAATGTGTGAGGTCTACCGAGTAAGTCTACTATATCATTAAATTTAAATTTTTATTATAAAAACTGAAAAAAAATATTTTGATGAAAATTATTTATACATAAATACAATACAAACAACTTGCATCTATATAAAATATAATTTCATAGCTTTGAACCAACTGTACTATGAAAAAAAAACAAATTAGGTTAAAAGCCTATAAAACCATGCGAGGTCTACCAAGTAAGTCTACTAAATAATCAAATCTTAAATTTAAATTAAGAAAAATTTAAAAAATAATTTGAAATATTTGTTTCACAAATAACGAAATAATAGACATTTAACATATATTAAAAATAAAATTTCAGAAAAAATCATGAATCTATAAATATCATATGTAAATAGTTCATAAGGATAAGAGTTTAAGTAGATTGTTTAGGGTTTAATGGGGAAAGTTGTAGGGTTTTGAAAAAATTTAGACGAAGAATTGTTTTTGGTTGGTTTTACGATTCAATGTTTGTTTATTTGTGACAAGGTGGTTATCCCGCACCTTATGCGGGTACAATATTTTTAAAATAGATAAATTAATTAAAGATTTAAATAATATAAGTAGTAAATTTTTGATTATATACATTTTTTGTTTTCTCCAACTTCTTATTTCTATAATTTTGATGTGTTTTATTTTTGTCTTCTCTTTCTTGTTCTTCTATATAATCTTCTTCATTCGTTTTAGAGAGATACAAAAGATTTTCCACTTCTTATTTTGTTCTCTTTTATTCTTCTCCAATTATCACACCTTCTTAATTTTCTTTCAATTCCATATTCGTTCTCATCACCTTTTTATTTTTCTTCTTCCAATTTTTTTTCTTCAATCTTTTCTTATATCTTCATATCTTCCAACTCACTACTCTTTTTTTTTCTTCCTAATTTTCTTTACATTTTTTTTCGATTTTTCTTCTTCCTCATTCCCCCTCTCTCTATCTTTATCATTTTCGTCTTCTCTAACATACATTATTATTCTAGTTTTTATCTATCTATTTCTTGTCTTTTTTCTTCTTCACATTTCATTTTTTCTTCTTTGATTTCTTCTTCTTTGATTTCTTCTTCTCATGTTCGTTTTCTTCTTCGAGAGATACAAAAGATTTCCCACTTCTTATTTTGTTCTCTTTTATTCTTCTCCAATGATCTCACCTTCTTCTTTTTCTTTCAGTTTTATATTCGTTCTTTATCATCTTTTTCTTTTCTTCTTCCAAGTTAGTTTTGTTATTCAATTTTTCTTATCTTCATATCTTCCATCTCACTATTCTTTTTTTCTTTCTAATTTTCTTTACATTCTTTTTTTTCGGTTTTTCTTCTTCCTCATTCCTCCTCTTATCTTTATCATCTTCGTCTTCTCTAACCGAAATGTCAGTATGGTGTATTCATCTTCGGTTTTTATTTATCTTTTCTTTGTCTTTTTTTTCTTCTTTGATTTATTTTTCCTCATGTTCGAGTTTTTTTCTTCTTCTCCAAATTTCTCATATTCTTTTCTTTTACTTGTGTTTTTATTCGTTCTTGTCTACGTCTTATATCTCACCTATTAATTCATTCGATAGTTTATATTTTCAATGATTTGTAAAATAGTTTTTATCTTTATATAGTTGAGATCTTTTAAAAATCTATTGGTTTTGTTATCTTTCCATTCTGGATTTGCTTTAATTGTTAATTTTTCTATTTGTGAATGTAATTTAGAAAGGGGAATATAAATTTATAATAAATGATTTTTAATTATGATATATTCTTCCATTCAAATGTTTAAAAATGCACCAAAAACTAAACCCTACACCCATCAATATAAACCCTACATCCTAAACCCAAGCCCCATAGTGTAACACCCCCCCAAACAACCCTACACCCTAAACCCAAACACACAGTGTAACAAACCCCACAGTGTAACAACCCCCCTGAGCAACCCTACACCCTAAACCTAAACCCCACATTATAACTTCCCCCCCCAAACCGCATACCTGAACCCCACATTTTACAAATTGGTTCAAGATTTGCTTTTATTTTTATTTTTATATTTTTTCTTAAAAGATATTTTTGTTTTTGTTTTAATCGGTAATGTATTGTATTCAGAATTTTTAAAGTGCATCAAAAACTAAACCTTACGCCAATCAATATAAACCGTACATCATAAACCCCAACCCCATATTATCTTCTTCTTTTACTTCTTTCATAATTTTTTTCCTTCATTTTCTAACATTTTTTCTTTTATTCTTATCAAACTTTCTATTCTCTTTTTATTTTCATCTCTCTTCATCGTCATCTTTTTATTTCCTGGTTTTTTTTCGTTTTCTTCCTTTTATTTACAATTTGTTTTTCATTTAGATTTATGTTCTTATTCTTTTTTTTTCTATTGATTTTTCCAACTTCTTTGTTGTTCACATATTCTTCATTTCGTTTCTTCTTCTGTTTTTTCGTCTTCGTCTTCCAACTTTCGTCTTTTCCTTATTATTGTTCAGGTTTTTCTTCTTATTTCATATTGCATTCTCATCATTTTGTATTATCAATATTTTTCTTTTTTTCAACAACTTATTTATTAGTTTCGTCTTCCTCTTTATTTTCTTTTATTTATGTTTTCTCATCTTCTCATATTTCATATTTTTGCTTTATTGGTTTTTCTCAACATTTTATCTTTTTCTTTCTCATACTTTATTTAATCTTATGCTCATGTCTCTTCCTCTCTCCCCCTCTCCTCCTTCTTAACAACCTTCGTCTTTTTTATTTTTATTATATTTTCAGGTCTTTAGCTTCTTCTTTTTTAGACTTTTATAACATCTTATTTACCAGTTTTGTCTTCTTCTTTATCTTTTAATTTTTTTCTAGGAATATAAATTATTATTGGACAAATAAATATTCAAAAAGATAAAAAGAAGAAGAAGAAAATTTGTATAAATAAGATTATACATCACTATAGTAACCCAAAAAAAGAGAAGAGCAGATATATAATGCATCAGATTTTGAATGTAAGAGCTCAAAACATATGCATGATATTAGTATTTTTTCATGTGTGTGATAACATGAATTGGTTTAAACGCTTTATTATTAAATTTGGGGAAATCTAGGCAAATATTAGTAATTCAAAAAGTTATATGCCATATTATGAGTTTCCAATACTGATCATGTATTCATGTTTATTCAGATCTCAGAGATGTCTCTTTCTTTTTGTCACTGTTAGAATCTCTAACTCCAAAATGATACAGCAAAAGATAATAAAGAAACGAAAATAAAAACCGAATGTCAATTTGTAGAATAGTGATATAAGTTGATCACTATTTAGTAATGCTATTTTTCTTCTATAACTTGACTCTAAAACATATATATACGTACTTAGCAAATCAAACTTGTATTATATCTTAGATTCCATAAGAAATAAAATATCATATTGTCAAGTGTTATTTTTACCTCGAACTCTTACCAGTTTTGAACTCCATCGAAAGAAAAATGTGTCTTTACATTATGAGCAATCATCAACACTGAGAAATCAACCAACTTGCGTATAGTCTGACATAAAATATGTATGACTTCGAGTCATAACTTGTTTTAATAATAAAAGGTTCGTTTAAAATATATATATATTTATAGTTTGACACAAAATAAACCAACAATCATACCAAAACCTTCGCCTCTCTTGTTTGTTTTTTTGCCTGCCATTCAGCTTCCCCTTCGGCTATATTCTTGCAATAAGATGCTTGTGAGCATCTATAACCGGAGCCTACTACACGATAACTACTTGAATTAAGATTATGATTCTAGGGTTTCAAGAGAGATAGAGAGAGAGAACAAACCAACGTATTATCTCTATGGTCTTGTTCATGAGTGAGTTGCAGCCATCAGTGGCAAACATGGTTTCTTTGTTCTAAGACATAAAGATTGAGAAACACATCACACATATAAATAACCTCTAGGTTTTCATGAAGCTTTCAATGCTTGGGAGCCAAGAAATCGTTTACATTCCTGTTATGCGAATAGAATCACAGCTTGCATCCTTGTGGCCAAAGAAAAAGAAAACAGTTATTTTGTTTTAGAAACTGTGATGATGGTAGTCGAATTTCTTGATGTGTTTTTGACTCTCTTTAGTGGTTTGTTTCTTTGGAGTTTCAGTCTCCTCTCAGTTGGGTTTTATGTGGTATCTTCTTATGTAATAACCCTCTTTCTTCTCTCCTTCTTGCTTACTTTACTTCCTTAATATAGTAGAGAGTTATTCATAAGATCAATGTCAATGCTTAAAGTCTTTTGTATCATGATTGTCCGAACATAAACGAATCATAATCTAATCTGGCTCATAAAATGACAAATATGCTTTATATTAGGAAAAGTAGGGAAAAAGGAAGGAAAAGTTACCTTCTGCAGTTCTTATGCTTCCTTCTCCTCTTTCTTCTTCCCTTTTGCAATCTCCTCCAACCGATGCTGCTCTTTCATCGTTGTTGACTTCTTCTCTATCTCATATTTTCGAATTTTAAGCAATTCTTAATCGATATAGATTGCAAATCCAAGTCTTATGGTAGAGAAATCTTTTAATTACCCCATGAAGCTCTTATCCAACATTGACAACATAACTCTCACTAATTAAACAAAGAGAGTCAAAGAACAAACCTCCATCACGAGCGAAGCCATCTGAAATCAAATAAAATCACTTTTTGTGGGTAAATAGATACACTCAATATCACAGAAAAGGAACCTTAAAGGGAAGGAGCAATTCCGGGATTAGCTAACTATAGACGATGCCTATGAAGAAGAAACCCTTCGCTACCGACTCAAACACAGTCACAATGGATCTACCCATCCACAATCTAAATCTCATGGGTCATCTCATAAAAAACCTTGGTAAAAGAAAGCAAATAGATACATCATCGGTTCCACTTCATATCTCCACAATAACAAAACCAAATCTCGTTACAATTATTGAAACAATATCCTCATCTTTTGATAAACTAAGAAAAGGTAAACAATCAAAAATAACTTTTACATCAACACGAATTGTAACAAAACAAACGAAAACATGAGAGACACTATTTAAACTCACCGAAGAGAATAATCAACATATGTGGGATAGGAACAGGAACAGATGTGGGATAGGCTGGGTTCTTCGGAATGATCAAGGTAAAGTGTTGTGGATGGGAGCAAGGAAGTTACCAATGTTACGCTCATCCCTGGAGGTAGAGATGGAAGCTTTGAGATGGGCGGTGCTTAGGATTTCATGTTTCAGCTATGATAATATCATTTTTGAAACAGATTCCCAAGGCACACTTAATGCCTTAAATGAAGATGGAGACTGGCCGGCATACGCTTCATTTAATCATGATACTCGTCAACTCCTCTCTCATTTCCGGCACTATAAGGTAGCTTACCGATCAAGAGAAGCAAATCAGGTGGCCGATAGAATAGCAAAGGAGACTATTTCTTCCATGAATTATGTTCCTAAGTTGTATTCTATAATGCCAAATTGGATAATCCCTTTTATTGAAGAGGATAAACAGGCTTTGTAATCGTTTCGGTTGAATGCAAAGTTATTTTAGAGAAGAAAAAAAAAAGAGAATAATCAACATATAAGTACGAAGATTAGTCATGAACCGTATGGTTCATCTGAAGCGATACATCCATATATAACTAAGGCATGACTTACGTTTTGAATCAAATCACAAAGAAGATGGTCGTCATTGTTAATTGAATTCATATATAGGCAGTGAAAAATACTTGACGCTAACAAAGAATATTACGAACAGTCCGTGTCATGCAAAATTGTTTGGCAGACCTTGTTTCTTCTTTATGTAAACACTGTTTGTGACCTGTAGAACATGAAACAAAGGAATTAGCTAACAATATATATTGATGACATAAATCGTTGAATAAAACAAACTATAATTCGACATAATTCATTGAATGAAACAAAATATAATTAAGCTATTGAAAACTAAGAAGAAAGAATCAAAACCTAAGATGAATAGAAGATGAATGGATATTAGGGTTTTCCATATGATTTTGCGGCAGATTATTTTTTTTTCTAACCAAATTCATATTTTTAGGATTTAGGTTTTTTCTTAGGGTCGTTGATTGTATAGATAACTTTTGATTGTTGTAGAGCAAAAGTATTAGTTAGATTTCGGTTAATTTTATGATTATTATATCAAAAAGATAATTGTCAATTAATTAATAAATATAATTTTAAAGGAAAATATATAATATAATAAAAGGGAAATTTTAAAGATATTCACAAGATTTTCATTAAGGGTATCTCGGTAATTCCGTGGCTGAGAGTTAACGTGGTGACTCCATTCGAAATTCTGACTTCGCAAATAATAGTATGATATACATTGTAAATTGACAATATGGCAAGCAAATCGTTGCAAAATTGTATCTAAATTATTCGATTTAGGGTTTAGGGTAAAGTAGACCTAACAAGTAGACGGATCGCGTAGACCGAAGTGGAGGTCTACCAACCGTTTTAACCTAGCGGGAATCCCGAAGTTTCAAAGCGACGGCTGAGATTGAAACGACGTTTCGGTAATTTCGTGGTAGACCGTAACGGTATACCTAAGCCGGAAATAACCGACTCAATTGTTTGCGTAGAACCGTAAATTGAACGGCTGAACCGATATTAATTGAAATAACCGGCTAATTTCTTGGTTCAAACCGATATAACGAAACCAGTTAATCGAACCGACGTATATAAAGCGATTTTAACCCTGAGCAGTTAATTTCTAGGTTTTGTTAGAACATTGCGAGTCGGCGCTCTCCAGAGGCGATTTCAGGCGATTTCCGTGTCCGACGCCGTTTGCTCCGCCGCTATTCCTTTTCCGACCCGCTATTCCGTTTCCGACGCCGTTTGCTCCGCCTCTGTTTGATTACGCCGGTAATATCTCCGCCCTATACCTCGCCCTATACCCCTAGTGTCGTTAATCTATCTCCGCTCAGTCATCTAACCGTTTTATTGTTCATATTTGGTCCGCCGTCTGGTGAACTCGTCGCCGTTGTCTAACAGAATCGGAGCGCTCCACATCGATCCCATTTCCCGGTAGTAACTCCGTCACTCACTCTTTTCTTACCATTTTCGCTTTGTATAACCACAAATAACCTCACCGCCGAATTCATGTGTCGTTTTTGTAGTTAGATCTCGTCCAAGATATCGTTCCTGGTGCTTTGCGATAAGCGCTTAGAACTGTCGTCGTCGTCGAGAGGTACAACAATCTATAACATAACCTCTACAACTCATATATGTCTTTCTTCTTCGTGATTCGGTAGATTTCGTTTAGGGTTTAGAGTAGACCTTCGTAGTAGACCTTGTAGTAGACCTTTGTAGACCTTCGTTTTTGCCTTCTTTGATTTTCCTTTTATGTTCGTTGCAGAATGAAGAAGCCTACCTTTCCAAGGAGGTTATACACAAGAGGGGCTGAACCGGAAGCCCAAAAGAGCATCTCCTACGGCAGCAACGACAAAAAGCTATTTGCTGCCGTGAAAAAACTACTGAGTGATGCCGAGTGGGAAACACTATGCGACTCGCGAGTTGGTGTCTTCTGCAAGTTTCACGACCTCGACTTCGAGTGGTCTTCGAAGTTGGTCCACACGATGCTCTCATATCAGTTAGAGTGCAAGAAGAAGTATGAGATCTGGGTTGCGGTTGCGGATAGCCCAATTAGATTTTCCCTCCATGAGTTTGAGCATCTCACCGGCCTCAACTGCGACTATGTGGAAGATATTGATGACCCCAAGTGCAAGGTTACTCTAGAGATGAGAGCATTCTGGGAGAAGCTCGGAGTAGATGTTGAGCTTGGTCCGAGTCAAGTGGAGATCATTCGTGCATGCGAATGGGCAACAGACTGGCCGAGTGAGGACAAACTTAGGCTTGGTTACTTGGCCATCTACACTGGCTTCATTGCTGCTCGGAAAAACACCTCGCACACTCCTGTCAACCTGGCCAGATTAGTGATGGATGAAGAGGAGTTTGAGAATTATCCGTGGGGGCGTGTAGCTTTCAAGAACCTGATCGAAGCCGTCAAAGAAGCAGAGCTATGGAAGTCCGGGTATGTCCTGGATGGGTTTGTTGAGGCTCTACAAGTATGGGCATATCGTTTCATGCCTGAATTCGGAGCGGGTTGTGGTGCGCCCATACGAAACGCTCCTGACATTCCGCTCTTGTCCTACAAAGGAGTCCAGGGTCTAAGGAACATTGAACTCACGATACTGAAGCAGGTACATACTTTACTTCGTTTACAGTAGACCATTATTTAGACCATGGTAGACCATTATGGTAGACCATTTATTTATGGTGAGACACTGCATAATGGTGGAGAGAGACTTTAAAAGTGGGATGAGGATAAGGAAGACCCGCGTGTAGATGAACTCATCAACGCGCTGTATGGAGACCTGGGCCGGTGGAGGTGGAAGCCGGCGGACTGGAATCCTCAAGGTGTTCTGGTGAAGAATCCTATACCCCCGGAGTCTGCGAAGAGCTAAGCTGCATGCAATCGGAAGCGGGTACGCGGAAACGGAAGCATTAGGAAGCATAGAAGCGAGTTTTTTCAAAATATTAGGAAGCGGTACGTGTAGGAAGTGTTTATATATATATATATATATATATATATCATAAAATACTTATATAAAACCCATATTATATTAAAATATTTTTGAGAAAAAAAAATCCAATACAACAACTTATTTGAAAATAACATATCGTTTACAAAACAACAAATAACGGCATAAATTTTAAAATACCTTTATCCTTCTCCTCTAGTCCACGATTTGGGAATAAACCAGAGTCTTCTTTCTCCCGTGACTTTTCAACTTCTAAATTTCTGCAACTCTCATAATCTCTTTTGTTGAGTTATTAGTTTAGGTTAATTCGGTTTTTAACTTTTAACAAAATAGGCTAAGTGATGGGTTGGGTCACAAAACAATTTCTAAACCCAAAGAGGAAAAGATCCTCAGACCCTGGAGATGAAATGCAGAAGAGGCTGTGTCTTGAGAGCGTTTCCTTTGCTGAAGATGGCTTCAGTCGCTTCGAGGAGAAGCTGAAGGTTCTGTTTGAAGATGGCTTCAATAAGTTGTATGCGGCGATGAAGACGGACTTTGAACTGATTCCAAGTTCACGATCCTAACTAGGAAGGTGGTCCGCATAGAAAAAACAGTTCAGGCTATGCAAGCAGCATCAAGGCGTCCGGACCCCGAACCTGTGGAACCTGATGCGCCTAATGAGAAGAACGAGCCGTCTGCTGAAGATGGTGGAGCCGAGGAGAAGGCTGCCAAGGATGCCACTCCTAGGAAGGATGCTACAGCCTCGGAGAAGGATGCCACTCCCAAGAAGGACAGCCTCGGAACCGTTTCAGACGCCTCAGCTGAAGGACGAAGTGTCCGGTGAAGAGGAGGAGGAGGCTGCATCCGAGGAGAAGGTTGCCGATAACTCCACCGAGAAGGCTGCCACTCCTAAGAAGAAAAAAGCTCCAGCTCGGGTTAGTAACAACCCATCTCCCAAATCTTCATCTAGGAAGAAAAACCAGCCTGCTGAACCTACTAGGATCCTTCAAAATAGGAGGCAGAACCCCAAGTACAAGCAGTAGTTTAGTCTGCTGCTGCTTTTCTTATTTTATCTTGTTTCTATATGCGTAAATCTTTTTTTGTGTAAAACAATGAATATATCTGTTTAATTTATACATTTGTTTACTATAAGTACCATATATTGATGCAAGTGTCGTTCATTAACATTTGCAGAAAAAAACAAGTTTTATCTCCATGCGCTAGTGACAATGGCGTAGAGCCGGGCCTTGTCTTTGTTAAGCAGTTTACACCAACGAAAGAAGAGAAAGCGGAGGATATAAAGAGGATGCAACTAAAGCAACAAGCATCAATAAATCTTTCACATGCAAACGTACAGAGACAGCGACAACTGGCCGCTTCACAACGGACTCCTTGAATAGGAGATAGCACAGTGAAGGGAATCATTCCTAACAGGCCACCGCATGGATTTGGGTACTATCCCAACAAGCCTGTGGATAAGGAGAGGCTTGCACGACTGAAGAAAGAGTTTAAAGGCATTTTGTATGTATTTTCTTAAACTTCCTATTACTTATTTGAGCTATCCAGACTTGTTTTTATTATGAAGTGCGCTTTTATGTGTTATATCCAGCTACACTGGTGGCAGGATTTGGTCGTGCAGACGCAATGGCGCGCTGATACGGTAAGTAGACCATTATGGTAGACCCGAGTTTGACTGCTTCACTCTTCGCAAGTACGAGGGCAAAGCCGCATATCCAGCTTCTGGTGTTCCCCTAACAAAAAGTTGGCAGCTTTTAAAGCTCTGTAAGAAGTGGTGTAGTTAAGCTTAAGTCCAAGCAACACCCTTATCGCGGAAGCAATATGCCTTGGGACAATTCCATCAATGATTCCAAACTGCTCTACAAATATCTGCCCAAGATACCTTGGAGTACATCCCTTGCGGAATCGAGCACGGTCCACCACAGAGCATGTATGAACCTTGACATACTTTGTGACAAAGAACCTCTTTGCCTCATTCTTTATAGCAGCTCTGCACATCCATTTGCATCCATCTACAAAACATTTTGCCACATAGAGCTTGGTAGTAGACTTAGAAACCTTGAAGGCGAATCTAGACATCACTGCCTTCACTCGCAAGGCAGATATGAGATCATTCTTGCTTACATAGCTCTGGCCAACTGATATATCGCCTGACCCATCGAATCCTACCCCATGACCATTCAAATCACCTCTGCGAAGCCTTTCTTCAAAGCGTTTTTTCTCCCAATCATCTTCATCTTGAACTTTCCCATACTCACTATAGTCTGCGTCCGTGTCTTCAGCTTTCTTTCCTGCAAAATCTTCATCCACATAGTCATCGTCCCCTGCATCATCATACTCTTCCTCAACTTCTTCATCTGAATTTGCATCCCAGTTTACATCTGAAAGTTCCTCCTCTTCATACTCATCCTCATCCACATAGTTATCTTCATCGACATAGTTATCCTCATCTCTCTGCTGACCTTTATCCTTGTTTCCAACAGAGATGCAAAGGCGCAGCACATGCGTTTTGCAGCTCTATCAAGCTATGGACCTGCCCATCGTTGGTGATGTACATAGGAGGAAAGTCAGAGGGCATTTGATGGAGCATAACATCTGGTAATGGATAGGATAACTCCACCCGCTCTGGTTCCATATCCAGCATATAGTCAGCTTGTACCATTCTAAGGAGCTCCTCATGTGTACAACCATCACGCAAGTAGAACATCCTCCCTCCTTTTCCTTTATCGACCTCAAAATTCCATGTCTTGTCTTCCATCACCACCCATTTTCCATAAACGGAAGCTAGACAAACCATTACCTGCAACAAAAACGAACAAGACCACAAAACGGATTAGTAGACAGAATGGGTAGACCGCTACGGTAGACCCACAACTTGGTCTACCAGGTAAAATTAATCTAGATACCTAATTGAAAAGAAATCCGAATATAGCCTTAATTACGCAGAAAGAACATTTCAAACTCACACAGAAGCAAGTAAACAAACAAAAGCAACTAACTGTTCGAGATAAATTCCAAAATATTTGATATATTGAAAGGAAAACGACATTTCAAAAAACACATAATAATAGACCTAAACGTAGACTTCTAGTAGACGTAACGGTAGACCGAAATGTAGGTCTACGCCACGTGGAGGGTTAGTTTGCAATTGTTCGAGGAAAAATGTTTTTTTGGAGGTCTACCGTGTCGGTCTACTACACGTGGCGGGTTAGTTTTGCAATTGACCAAACGTTGACTTTTTGCCAAGGTCTACCGTCTCCGTCTACCAGAAGACGTAGACCTCCAAATCGGTCTACCGTAAAAAAGTAGACCTCAAATTAGTCTACCGTATCGGTCTACCTAAAAAACAGTTTGTTTGATGCGTTGACTAAGTTTGACTTTCCTCGGGTAGACTTCCGTGGTAGACCTCAGTTTTTTTGCGTTGACCAGTAGACCTCACTTTCGGTCTACCAAGGTAGACCTACACGGTAGACCTCAATGACGCAAACTCTCTCCTTTTTGAGGAAAGTCAAACTTTTGTCAACGGCCGGACCAACTTTTTTTTTTTAGGTAGACCTCCTACGACAAACATTTTCTCGATCAATTGCAAAACTAACCCTCCACGTGTAGTAGACCGACACGGTAGACCTCCAAAAAAACATTTTCTCGAACAATTGCTAAACTAACCCTCCACGTGGAGTAGACCTAATTTGAGGTCTACCACTTGTTTTTTTTGTTTGCAAAGGAATTGACCCGGTGACTAACTGGTTTGACTTAGTAGACCTCAACTGAGGTCTACCATGTAAAAGTAGACCACTTCCGTCTACCTTTGCGGACCAAAACTGAAAGTCGTTCAATTTTGAAAGAAAGGTTACCTCGCCGTCGGAGAAAGGCTCTTCGAAGCCTGATAACTTCAATTTGGGCTTCCAGCAACGATCTCCGGTCGTCAACGTAAGCTAACAATCGGAAATACCAAGATCCAAGATTTGAGATTTCTTTAGATTTTGGGATGAAAATGGAGAGAAAATGAAGAATAAGAGTTTGTGAGATGAAAGAAGGAGAAATGGTAGCTCACCAACGAGTTTTCGGAGCATTGAAAGCTCCATGTTCGGTGAAAATGGTGGTTGGCCACATTGATGATATGGCATTTTCGAAATTTTGTGTAGGAGATGAGGGGTCTTTGGTCTTTCAGCAGATGGTAGACCTAAAATCGGTCTACCAATCGAAAAAGTAATGGCAATCCTGTAATTAATTAGAAAAACTGGACAAACTTAAAACGAAAAAAACAGGAGGTTACTTTTGCATTTGACCACAATTTTGGGTCTAAAGTGAAACAACCCCAAGTTACTACATGTATATTTCCATCGCGCATAAAGACCAAAACTACAATGAGTAATTTCTCATGTCCTCACCAAGCGGTAAAAAACAACAATTAAATCATAGTACCAAAAATAATAACCAAATCAACAAAATTTAATAGATAAAGTACAAAATAATTATCAACACACAACATAAAATGATAGAAGAAGACAATATGAGAGGAACTGAAATTGAGGCATAACCTCGGATAAGAGAAGTTGCCATAACCTCAGAAGCAACTTAAGACTCAGTCTCTCCAACCAAGTTGCAAAGATCCCGCTCAATGTACATAATATAGATGTCCCGAAGCTGTTCTTCTTCTGTTGCAGCTTCACGGTCACCCTAATTAACATAAAAAAAAAATACAAAATGCTCAAATGAGAAAGAGAAAATGGAATGGGTCCTAGAACATTGATAGATTAAATACTTACCATAGACATTATGCATTCTGTATGAAACCCTTTCTTGCAATGGTTGCAAACATATAACCTGATGGGACATTCTAATCCACACAGAGAACACAAATAACCGCCACCAAAAGATATTTGTTGCTCCAACGTATGCTGATGTCTTAGGTTCTTCACATTGTATGGAAATCCAATACACTCTGCATGGGCGTTGAAGTTACATTCAATACAACCGTAGAATGATTCACCACATCGTGTGCCACACACACAACACACCCGACTCAACTTTGAGTCCTTCATCCAAAAGTGGTAGAGATAGTGGTAGTGAGACTTCGCATCCACAGCTGCGATGCACTTAGTATGGATACTGATGTGGCATACATAACAATGATAGCCATACTTTGTAATATTCAGTTTGCAGGCAATGCACTTGGATCCACTTTTAAGTAAAAGTTCAAGCGGATGATCAGAATGAAGTGGATGCCCGAATACATACCGTCTCCGGAAAAGAAAACAACGATGATGATATATCTCTTCACACTTCAAACATGACACTGCTTTTCCATTCAAAATCTCATCACAAATACCGCAAGGAGCTGGATACGACCTCGAGACGACAACTACAGCCATGGTGTGTTGTCCGGTCATACAAGGTGCGTCTATGGTTCCGACTAATTTCTGCCCTAAAACCCCAAGAAAATGTTTTTGTTTCAAGGCGCAACTCAAGTCGGTGATAAAATTGCATACCCGACAAAAAAGATTGAAACCATCTATATCCCCTTTGCAAATGTCACAACTCAGCACATACCGTGCAGGGGGCATGGACAAGAGTGTCAAAGGGTGTTTCGAGTGTAGTCGATGTCTTGATGGCTCCCCCAACTCTACACAGAAATTATGTGCCAGGAAACTGCAAATCTCGCATTTCCATGGGCTATCAAGAATTCTTTCTTTACATATGTTGCAAAATGCAAGTTCACCAAGCTCAGTCATGTGGAATAGTCTCATCACATGAATATGATTACTTCGGACCTTTCCAGTATAAACCGTAACCTGCAATTATATACCCCAAAGAAATGTTAAGGGAAGCTCGCCTAAACAAAGCAACCCATGTACATCAAAACATGTTAATCTAACACTATACCACAATTTTTTTTGCCAATGCAATGGGTTCAAAGTTGTTTCTTTCTGTTGGCCTTGGGATGACTCCGCCACCAGGATACAGATCTTTCACGTACAATGGTGAGGGCCGTTCCTGTTGGTTACGAGTAAGAGTAGCACATCATTGTCATCATCTATCACTTAGAAACAAATATAGCTGAAATGTATTACATAAATGACATGTTATGTACGTACCTTGCGTAGAATACATTCAATGTGACAAAAAAATTCACACTCTTCGCAAGAATAAGCATGATGTCTTGAGTTTATCCTGGTCTCGCAAACGCCACAATACTCCATAGAATCGCTCCCGGCTATAAATCTTATTTTACACACGAGTGGGTGAATGTGACAAGATTTCTTGACCACTGACTCAGGTATTTCAAGGCACTCAAAATGGAAGTTCACATCACATTGCACACATTGATAATAAAAATCAATAGAGCTCGCATTAGTTACCATGCATATTTGACAAGGACTTTTCTTTGTTAAAACACGACTAGCATCATTAGGTACATAAAACAACATGTGCTGATGAGACTTGTGCATGAGACCTCGCAACAGTGAATCTGCACACCTTAGATGAAGGTCAAAAGAACATTCTAGGCAACCAAATGGAACACCGTCGATATGAAGTTTGCACGCATTGCAATATTTTCCATCTCCACAAGACTGTGTGAAGTCAAGGCGTCTAAGAGGGTGTCTCGGATGCACCGGATGTTGAATCTCTGTGGGAAGATCAAGGCATACCTCGTGGAAAAACGAGTAGCAATGGACACAACCTTAGCATATTGAAGACGGAGAGAGAGGAAGCTCACAAAGTGTGCAAGAGCCCTTAGCGTCTGGTCCTGGTCGGCTCCTCCTAAGCATGTGGCTGTGGCTGTAATGGAGCATTTCTTTGACATTCCAACCAGTGACCAGATTTTTCAGGAGGGCACAAGTCAGATCAAGGTAAATCTCACATTCTTTACACTCGTAGAAGGATCCAGAAGCCATGTCCCCACACCCAGAACATACGACGTATCCAGGCTTTCGTTCATGTTGGCCTAGACAAAACTCTAGAGGATGTTCTGAGTGAAACTCATGTGACACCTTCTGTGGCAGATCGGAGCAAGATTTACATAGATTGAAATTACAAGGCTTACAAGCGAATTGGACAGGTTTGTCTTTGTAGCAAATGCTGCAGATGTTTTCCGCTACGATCTCTTGCGAAGTCAACGCACATTCATGGGAAAAATGCTGGAGCTCTTCCATCGC